CCCCAGGGCAGAAAGGGGTGTGGATCTCTCCAGGGGAGAGGAAGAGACTTTGCTGAAAGGAGTCGGGGGGCATTAGAGTTGCTTCTCCAGTTCACAACAATAACACATACATATAGATCTGGGTGTATATATGCACCTATATATCTGCTCAGGCTGCATGTTCCACCTCTGCCTCTCCCGCCCCCCACCACACACAGACTCAGGGATTTGCAGACACTTCTAAGATGCTCCTTTTGATTTTCATCTTCCTGGTCCTGAAGTTTCCTCTCTTTGTGTCAGATTTGGCTGATCCCCTCTGCTTTCTGAGAATGGAACCCAGTGCATACAAGGATGGCAACATGGTAATTGGTGGTTTTTTTCCCACTTTATACTTATTTCTTACAAAGAGGGAAGAAGCAGCCTGGCAAGCATATCATTTTCCAGCAGTAAGTGCCTTTTCATTTATTTATTTTCTGCTTGATTATGATGAAGAGCGATGCCTGTGGCAGCTGTGAATGGATAGACCAAGGTGCTCCGCCTTACCTGGCCCGTCTTTCCCCCTGCATCCCTGCCATCCCAGAACTGTCCATGAAGAATTTTGCCTCTTCTCATTGACATTTTTGCTTCCTTCAAAGGAGAGGGGACTGGCCCTGTGGCCGAGTGGTTAAGTTCGTGCGCTCCACTGCAGGCAGCCCAGTGTTTCATTGGTTCGAATCCTGGGCGCAGACATGGCACTGCTCATCAAGCCATGCTGAGGTAGCATCCCACATGCCACAACTAGAAGGACTCACAACGAAGAATATACAACCAGTACCGGGGGGCTTTGGGGAAAAAAAGGGAAAAAAAATAAAATCTTAAAAAAAAAAAAAGGAAAGAACAGTGTTCTCGTGTTTTCCAATTTTCTTCCTTTTGGTTTCCCCTTTTCAGGGCTAGAAGCTTAGTAAGGCAGCGCTCTCCAATATACTCCACCATCTCTGCCCTTCCTCCTGCCTCAGCTGCCTCTGCATAACGTTCTACCTTCAGATCTGTTGGGGCAGCATCCCAGCCCCCACAAGGTACCCCTGGGGGGGACGTGATCCTGCCTGCCTGCCCCTCACTCATCTGCCATTGCGACTCTGTTTTTCAGCAACATCTAGGTTTTGACTCGAGAGGAGTTTTGTTTTGGTGTTGGTTATTTACTAAAAGTATGTTAATGAATTGTCCTCCAAAAGTAATATGTTCTATCAGAAATGGATGTTGAATTTTATCCAATGCTCTATATACTTCAATGAGCATCTATTTTTCCCCTGGCAGATAGGTTAGACCCTAAATGTGAGGATATTAAAAGATTATATAGTTTTCGAATAGTCTGTTTATTATGATTCCTTGCTCACATTTTCTTTTTGGGTGCCAGTAACAGGCTCAGGTCAACTTCGTAATTAATAGAGATATATCTTCTTGTTCTATGTTCTGGGAAAGTTTCCTAGTAGAGTGAATATCCATTCTTAAGTTTCGGAAACAATTAATCTGTAAATACATCCAACCCACCATATATTTGGACTTCTATTTCTTAAAGACTTTCTTGAAACCACACAGAACATTTGTTTCATTTTCTCTCTCTTTTATATTTGAGTCAGTTTGAGTCATTACGTTTTCATTTAAAAAGCAGCTTTGTCACTGAGATCCCAAAAGTTACCTCCACGTGGAGATTCACAATATTCTCTGTGACTTCACTCATGGTCCCATTTTCTCACCCACCGTTAATGATTGTCTTCCCCAAATATTTTTTCTTTATCAGACTTGTCTGAATGATGTCTATTTTCTTCATCTTCCCAAAGAATGAGAGCGATCGATTAATTTTCCTCTGGACTTATTTTCTATTTGTTTTATACTCTTACTCTGCTTCAATCTCTTTTTCTTAATTATTTTATAGATGTTTTCTTTCTCCTTTCTCCTTGTTTTGAGTTGAGTCTAATTCATTTGCTTTCATCTTTCATTTTCTACTCCAGAAATTTAATGTTCATATATTTTCTCTCAGAACAGACATTTTTCTCTCTTCTTCCTTTCTCTCTCCTCTCTCTCCTTGACTCCTTGCTACTCCTTTCTAATCGTTGGTTTGATTTCCTGCTTGAGCAAAGAATTATTCGTGAGAGTGATTAGTGGTTTGTGAATTGTCTGACTTGTTTATGATATGTTGGCAGTTAAAGGGGATTTGTGTGCATGTGTGTGGTTTCATGAACTGGATTTCAAATCTACCTGTTCATCTGATGAGCTACTGAGTCAGAATTTCTGTGGTTGGGGAAAGGATCTGTGTCCTCTAGTGGCTTCAGGAATTCATTACAATGTAGAACCTGCTTGGTGGGAGAAGATAGGCCCTCATTTTATAATGACATGTTTTCCCTACTTTGGGATAGAGAGCTAGAGATTTAAATGTAGACACGTGTTGTGTGTGATCCACAAATATTTAAAAATATATCAAGATTAACAATATACATGATTCTTATGTTGACTTTCTTGGACAAAGACTAAGTTGTGTTGAATACTCTTACTATGGTTGTAGTTAGGTTCACTTCACTTCATATTTATAAAATCTTTGTTTTTTATATTTGAAACTATTAGTGAACATATGCTTTTTAACCTCTAACCACCTTTGTACTCCTTCAATTGTTTTTTGCCTTCAGATATGTGTGCCTCATTATACACATACATATAGAAAAGTTTCATATTGATTGGGGCTTTCCTTTTGTGAACATATGTATGGAACATCATTGATAATCCCCTTTCTTTCAGTATCTATGTTCAATGTCAGTTTCCTAAGTCTTCCTCAAATACAGAGTAACATTCAATATTGAAAAAGTGATTTAAGTAACTTAAATATATTATAACTGATATGTGTAGCATTATCTCTGTGGTTCTACTTTTAAATTCATACTTTGCTTTTTTTTTGTTTTTCCTAGTTTTGCTCTATTTAACGTAATTATCCTTATTAAACTTTTCTCCACCACCTTGGATATATACATCTTTATTGCATTCTATTTTAGAATATTTTTAATTTAAAAAATAAGAACCCAGAATCTGAAGTCTTACCTCAATGACTCTTCAACATTCAATGAAAAATTTATGTCTTTCACTTCTTTTCTTTTTCTCCAAATCCAGTTTATCTAGGAATGGATGAAGCTCTTCGTTCAAGATGGTTTTAAATTTTGTGTGCATTCTTTCAAGTAGTTTGTATTTTTAAAAATCACATTAACACAAAGTACTTAGACAATTGTTTCACTTTCTCAGTGTTCATTTATTTGGTATGGTGATTTTCTTTTTTGAAACCAGTCATCCTCAAACTCTTATGGACCTGAATTACCTGGAGGGCTTGTTAAAGCACAGAAGATTTGCTGGACCCCACCCCAGACATTCTGATTCAGTGGGTCTTGAGTGGGGCTGGAGGACTAGCATCTCCACGTTCTGACTGGAAGCCGGCCCTCCGCCTACTATTCCTTACTTTTGCATTTCACAGGCAGTAAAATCTGCATCTCAGTGTGGAGGCTGTCCCTAAGCAATCCTTTTATTTTTCACAGATGTTATGCCACAGCAAACTTCTTTTCCTCCTACCTCCATCTGGGCAGTTGAACGCTCCAACTGATGCACAAACCTTCTTCATTTTTACTCTAAAAGGGGTGCTTTATTTTCAGAAATGACACACCATCTGCAGTAAGTTTAATGTGGATGCCATTCTCTGCTCTTTAGAGATTTCTATTTATTTTAATAACACCTACACCATTCTTCTTCCTTGTTCTCAGCATTTCATGCTCTAACATTGAAAATACATGGGGTTCCTAGAAATTCTGGACACTCTCCCTTCTTAAAGTTTAATTGGTCATATCACAGCTGAACTAAGTGAAACTAAGGTTGGCTGTATCGTGGCTTGTCACATGACCATCAGGAATGTGTAAGGTGTGTGTGCACCTTACAGAAACAGGACGTTCCCTGGAGCATGTTTCTCAATGATTCTTCTCCTAGAATTTGATTAAATATGTTCTAAATTGAGGTTTCCAGTTTCAGTTAAATGTACCTAATTCACGCATAACAGTACCGGTCTGTAAGCTTTTCTACATCCTAAACATATTTTGTTGAATAGCGTGTAAATTATTTCTACCCCCTCCCCAAGCCCATACATTTGATTTAAAAATTTATTTTCTTTTCAACTTAAAGGAAGAATTTATATTAAAATAAAGAAATCCACAGGAGTATCCAAAAGAAAGAAATCCTGGGAATATGAAGGACTAGATACCTTTTGGGGTTTCCCTTCATATAACAACATCTTTCATAACATATAATTTTATTGCATTCTTGCATTTGCATGAAGTATGCAAATTCTCAAAGGACAAAAAAAGGAAATTGTAAGCACATGAAAAATTTGGATTAACCCAGTGGCCAAAGGCCAGTAGCATCCTGTAATGAAAGGACTTGTCTTTGAGCCACCAGTGACTTGCGAGAATGAATCTGGGACTCCCAGATTAGTAGAGTCACAAAAAAATTCTCTTGGCTTGGTGCCTCCTAACATGATGGTGAGCAGAAGCCAGTGATGTTCTTCTCTGGAGGAACGGATCCTAAACTAAAGCCTTACATTCTCCACACATTAAAATCGTACAAAAACGTACTCATAATCAAAGTCCACCAAACACATAAGGAAACACATGCCATTGTCAATAAAAGTCATGAAAACATGACAAAATTAAAAATAAAACAATAGATTTAGACCCCTAAAACCTCAACAATTAGATTTATCAACTTCAAGATATAAAATAATTATGAATAAACTCCTTATAAAAAATGGAACAACAAAACAAAAATCAAACAGGTGACTCCAAGAAATGATCAGATCTATTCGGCAAAGGGCCTTATAGAGCATTAAGAGGTGAAAAATACATAGCTGTTGAGTTTTAAAGCTGCATAGACGGGTTATACAGCAGAAAGGAGAACAGAGGGCTAAATTTGAATTCTGAAGGAAACAGAATGCAGCACAGAAAGACAAGGAACTAGAAAACATGAAAGATAAGTTAGATATTGAGAAGAAGACGAGAGACATTCAAGGAAAAGGAGAAAGAAAATACAACAAAAACAAGTGAGTCATGAGGGTACAGCTGAGAGTTAAAGGATCTATGAATTTCTCAGGAGGTGAGAAACTATATCCACTTCAGACAACGTGGACTGGTGGTGAAACAGAAGTAGAGAACGTAACTCTCACCCAAATAGAGGAGATACAATGGAATATGGAAAACAAGAATAAATCAATAAATTTTAAAGGGAAATAAAGTAATAAAAATTGTGGAAAAAAAATAGAAGGAAAAATATACATAGTGGGAGCAAAACAAGTATATAAATAGTTACAACAAATGGATATGGAATAATTCTCCAGCTAAATACAGATTGTCAAAGTAGATGGGATAATAACAAATTTAGCTTTATCTGTTTACAATACTTGTGAAAACTAAAAAATAGGGAAAATTAGAAACTCAAACTGGAACAGAAGATATAAAGATATGCTAGGCAAATACCAATAAAAAATCAACCCAGAGTTGCTATAATAATATGAAATAAAATAGATGAAGATAAAACATATCATTAAGAATATAGTGGTTAATTCACAATGGTATAAAATTTCAATTGACCATGAAAATATAGTCATTGGTGTCTTACACATTATATCACATTAAGATAATACAGCCTCAACTAGGAAAGGAAGGAGGAGAAGGAAGAGAAGGAAAAGGAGGAGAAGAAGAAGAAAAAGAAGGAGGAAGTGGAGGAGAAGGAAGCAGAGGAAGAGGAGAAGTAGGAAAAAATCTATCATCATAGTGAAGATTTTCAACTTTCCTCTCAGATAAACAATAGCATACCTAATAATAGCATATTTGAAAAACAAATTAGCACATCTGATTTATTGGACACATATAGAACCCTATACCCAACGAGTGAAGCATACCTATTCTTCTCGAGCACACAGGGAGCATTAACAAGCAGTGATCATGAACTAGGGTACTAATCCATCCGCAAATAATAGAACACACGAAATAAGTGCGATAAAATAAAATCTATTTTTTTCTTGATGGAATTATGGATCCCAGGCAATAGAAATGCAAAGCATTTTCTTTGGCCTCGGAGATTATTTGTGTATAGAAAGTCTGTAGAAAAGATGAAGAGAATAAGGGCTTTCAGGAATAGGTACGGTTAAAGGTGCTACTTATTAATATTGATAATATTGTTATATTTTTAAAATAAGAAATGGATGATAAACTTTTTAAACTTTACAGTGCTCTGTCTCTTAGATTCCTAAGTGTTTCCGGTCCCTTCAGTCTTTCATGCTTCTTCCAAATGTTCCTGCCTTTTGATGATTCCTCCTTCATTGGAAGGCTGATGTTCACCTTAGTTTCCTGGGTTTTGACGGTGGCAGATACACAAGGTTAATGGGGCAGAAGTTTAGGGAATTTGATTGCCAGCCTTGTGTTGCACCATTCTCAACCCCCAGATCTCATGCTTCTTGGCTTGTCCTGTACTATTCACTCGGAATTACTCCTCCTCCTCAGGGCTATCTTCAATCTCATGTTAATATTGTTGCTCTTCCATGAAGGATTTAATGATGTGTTCATATGAGCAAGCATTTTGGCTCCTGAGCCAAAGAACCATTTACAAAACCCTCTCTTAATGGGATCTGCCTTTCCATTCATTGTACTTTCCTTTGTAAACTTAACAACTTTCCTTCGTGAATGTGGAATTCAGTAAGGACTTTTCACAACTGAAGTTGTGTTATTTTCTTTAGTTATGAATTCTGAGTCTTCAGGAGAGCAAACTGTTGCCACAGACATTTGAGTTGCCTGGGAGCTCATGTGTAATGAAGTCATTTTATTGCATTTGAAGATCATCATGCTTTGAGTCTTTTCTCTGAGGATCCCTATCCCTCTATGCAGGTTTCAGCAGAAGAACTACCAGTACGTCCTGGCCTTCATTTTTGCCATTGAGGAAATCAACAGAAACCCCCATCTTTTACCCAATATATCTCTGGGATTTGATCTCTATAATGTGGTGCACAGTGAACACAGGGCATTGGAGAGTTCCCTCATTTGGCTCTCAGGGCTGGACAGGGACATCCCTAATTACACCTGTAGGAGAGAGAGCAAGTCTGTAGCAGTGCTTACAGGAACCACATGGGCAATTTCTGCCCAGATTGGAACACTGCTGGCACTCTAAAAATTTCCACAGGTAAGGCTATGAGGGATGGGGAGAGATGAAACCATGTTTCCTTTGGTCCATTCTCAGGTGCCTAAAAAAGACGAATGGATGAGACTGGGTTTGTGCATCTCTCAATGGATATGATCTCAAAGGAGAAGTGTACAGAGCCCTGGTGGGGTATGACTTTCCTTTGTTCGGGGTAGAGAGGAGAATGAGGGGGAAGGAGACAAAGCAATTTCCTGGAACTCTGATCTCATTTTCTAGAAAACTCTCAGGGAGTGGGAAATGATTAGAAAATGAAATGAGCAAATGTCTCCTTCTACCACTTCCAGGTATTTCTGAATACCCTTCAGGACTGAGAGTGTGCTTTTTGCCAATCCTCTTCCCCACATTGCTTCCAATTTTCTTTTCCCTTTAGCTTACCTATGGCCCTTTTGAGCCTATCCTGAATGATGGTGACCAGTTTCCATCTCTTTATCAGATGGCCCCGAGGGACACATCTCTGGCCCTTGGCATGGTCTCTTTGCTGCTTCATTTCAGGTGGACCTGGGTGGGGATAGTCATCTCAGAAGACAAGAAAGGTGTTGAGTTCCTCTCAGATTTGAGAAGAGAGATGGACAGGAGTGGAATCTGTGCAGCCTTTGTGGAAATGATCCCTGTCACTGAAATGTCACCTTTCTCAAGGACCTGGCCATATCATTTAGAAATAAAGGACATATCAGCAAATGTGGTTATCATCTATAGTGATGCTGACACTCTAACAAGCTCGACTTTTTCTCGATGGGATGATTTAGTGATATGGAAAGTCTGGGTCATGACATCACAGTGGGATTTCATCACCAATGAGAGAACTTTTATCCTTGACTCATTCCACGGGACTCTCAGTTTTTCACACCACCATGGTGAGATCCCTGGTTTTGAAAATTTTATCCAGACAGTTAACCCTTCCAAATATCCAGAAGATATTTACCTTGCTAAGTTGTGGTTCCTCTTTTTTCCTTGCATGATTTCTGAGTCTGACTGTAAAACACTGGAGAATTGTCCACCCAATGCCTCCTTGGGATGGTTGCCTTGGCAGCTTTTCGACATGACCATGATCGAATGGAGCTACAACGTGTACAATGCTGTGTATGCTGTGGCCTGGACCCTTCATGAGATGCTTCTTCAACGAGCAGAAATGCAGCCAATGGGAAGTGGAGAAGGGCTGGTGTTTTCTCCCTGGCAGGTAATGTCTCTTCCATTTAATAGCATGTCCTGTCATAAATGTGACTTTCTTATGGAGTTCCACGGAGCACAAACCAAGTAGTAAGGATTCTTTCCCTAAGAACACAAGAGTTTCTGTACTTGTTTCCCTCTCTAGGAGGTAAATCTAGTCCTGGGTAGTCATGCTGATCAAGAAGAAGTTTCCAGGGACAAGGAGGAAGTGAGATATGAGTCAATATCAATGCTGTGGGTTACAAAGTATCTCACCATCCTGCCTGCCTGATGTTTTCAATAGGGAATGTCCAGCCTTTTCCCATGAAGCTCCTCAGTGACAACAGGAAGAGAACTTGTCATTTGAGTGCCCATATGGAGCTGCACATTATAACTCATACTTTACTTAAATGATCTCATTTAATTCTGTGACCACATTAGGTATTGTCAAGGTCATTTTGCAGACTGATGTTCCAGGAAAATTCAGTGAGTTAATGAGTGTGGCTAGATTTGACTCTGCACTTGAGATTTGTCTGAATCCCATGGCCACTCGTTGTCTTGGTCTGCTTGTCTTTGAGCACTTTCTCTTGAAACTAATTGATATTTTAGAAACATTATGATATTTTAGTTCTCCATATGCTTTCATTTGTTCTGCTTCATTGGATACTGTAATAAAATTACCTTATAAAGCATGGATTACAGACAATGAAAGGCTTTCCCCAATTCCGATGTTTATGTCTGTAACACCAGGGCACACTTCATCACAGGATGATGCATCTCTTTTAGCTGCACCCTTTTCTGAGGAACGTACAATTTAACAATTCTGCTGGGGACTCAGTGAATTTGGCTGAAGAAGGAAAATCAGATGCAGAGTATGCCATTCTCAACTTTTGGAATTTTCCAGAAGGTCTTGGACTTAAGGTGAAAGTAGGAGAGTATTCCCCACGTGCTCCACGTGGTCAAGAATTGTCTTTATCTGAGGAGCTGATCAAGTGAGCCACCGGAATTACTGAGGTGGGTTAAACCCAATTGCAATGACTTACACTACACATAAATAGCCAAAATCTCATTGTGGGGGGTTTTGTGCCCCCTTAGATTTTCATAAAGGGCCACTTATGGGAATTTAACAACTCTCTTCCAACTTAAGTAATTTTCTCTTTTACCAGTTATTCAAAGTGGAGGCAAGACCTTCCACCGGCAGAAAGATTGCAAGTTGAAGGCTCCGAAGGTCATTAGTGGTTTTGAGGAATAAAGTTTTTTAAAAATTAAGGTATTTACATTATGTTTATAAAGATAATGTTATTTCACACTTATCAGACTACTGTATGGTGTAAACATGACTTCTGTATGCACTGGGAAATCAAAAAATTTGTGTGACTCATTTTATTGCAATATTCGCTTTACTGCGGTGATCTGGAACTGAACCCACAATCCCTCTGAGGTATATGTTTATTTTATATCATACAATAAACGTGACATCCAACCAACGAATTGCTTTTAGATATCTCAAGATCAAATGTGTTAAATGCCCAATATTCTAAAACACTGTAGTTATTGGAAAATTAGGTAAAAGTCACAGCCGTTACCAACAGGTATCTGATCTTCTCCAGACTCCACACTCTGTATGCAGTGAGAGTTGTAGTCCTGGATTCAGGAAGACCCCTCAGAAAGGAAAGGCGACCTGCTGTTTTGATTGCACCCCCTGCCCAGAGAATGAGATTTCCAATGAGACAGGTGAGCGTGTGCCTTACAGAGGCGTTGTCCACCTCTCTTTTTTTTGGGAAATGACAGATTTGTCCTGGGCTAACATCTGTTGCCCATCTTCCTCTTTTTATAATCTCCCCCAAACCCCAGTACATAGTTGTATGTCCTGGTTGTAAGTCGTTCTCGTTCTTGTTAGTGAGCCACCAGCACACCATGGCAACTGACAGACAGGTGGTGTGGTTCTGTGACGAGGAAGCCAGCCAGGGCTGCCAAAGTGGTGAGTGCCATACTTTAACCCACAAGGCAATGAGGGCTGGCACTCCGCCTCTCCTTTATATCTGCCATTCCCCTAAAGAAATGGAAAAGTTATGGATGAAGACAGCAGAGTCAAAATGCTTCCTTCCTTCATTTAGTAATTTAGCTTTTATAGCCAATAATGCTTCCACCCAAAATGATATACTCTCTCTGCCTTGACCTAGCTTTCTTGACTCATGTTAAAACCATTGAAAGCATTACCATCCCAAGGAAACCCTTTTTGACCTTCCACAGTAACCTAGGTTAAATCTGTCATGGAATCTAACACACGGTATTGTAAGTCCTTACTTTTCATCTTTTTTAAAGCTACGCTTAGATCACATTGAAGAAATCCACATTTTTCCAGTGTCCAGTGCTGTTCTTGGCACAGAACAGGAGCTCAGAAAGGTTGTGTTTGATTTAAGAAGTATTTCCGTGGTGTATAATGTGCTTGTGGTACAGCTTTCCCTCAGTGAGTGCATCTTGGTCCCTGATCTCCTAGAGTTCATAGGTGAGTAGGGGAGACAACATTCAGTGATGTGAACCCAAGGTGTTGACATAGGGCTGTGATATAGGTATGCAGAGACTGCTGGGATGAAATAGTGATAGTATCTGCCTTTTTTGAGGGGAGGGGGTATCTTGGACTTCTTCATAGAGGCAGTAACATTAGAATTGCATCAGACTAATGAAGAGGGAATAAATTCTTTGTAGCATGGTTAGAAATGGCAAAAATTGGCAAATTAGCACCGTGTTTAATATTCAGGGGAGCTGAGAAAAGGTTCAGTGTGATGAGAACACAGAAAATGTGGGTTCGGGAGTTGGGACATGAAGTTGAAGAGGGACAGAAAATCAATATTGAAAATTTTTGATACCATAATTAACATCTTGGAATTAGTCACATTTATGATATTAAATGGTGCAATCCTGGAATGCCCTGAATGGTGGCATTTTCTATTTTTATTTTTGTGAATGGTATGAAGCTTAATTTGATAGCATACTTTGTATGATTTCAATTTTTTTTGAGGAAGATTAGCCCTGAGCTAACATCTGCTGTCAATCCTCTTTTTTTCCTGAGGAATACTGGCCCTGAGCTAACATCCGTGCCCATCTTCCTCTACTTTATATGTGGGACGCCTACTACAGCATGGCTTGCCAAGTGGTGCATAGGTCTGCACCCAGGATCTGAACCGGCGAACCCTGGGCCACCAAAGCGAAGAACGTGAGCTTAACCATTGTGCCACCAGGCTGGCCCCTGATTTCAGTTTTTTTTGAAATGTACTGAGATTGATGATATAGTCTGGCGTATAGTCAATTTGGGTAAAGCTTCCATGTGCACATTTGGCACATAGTAATTTTGGGAATATGTTCCATATGCACATATAAAAATCACTCCATCCACTAACTTCAATTCCTACATGCTTGGAGATTAATAAATACACTTGTAAACAACACATGACTAAAGAATAAACTACAATGGAAATTAGGACCTATTTACTCCTTATCAAAACTTATGGGGTGGAGTTAAAACTATCCTTAGAGAGAAATGTATAATCCTAGATTATACATATTTATATATTTCTGTGTATATTTAAATGAATAAAGGCTGAAGTTCTAAGCATTCATCACAAGCTAGAAAAAGAGCAGAAAATTAAACACAAAGAGAATAAAAGATAGAAAATGATAAGTATCAGAGGAAGACAATAAAATCAAAGACAAACATAGGATAAATAAAGCTAAATTAGATTCTAATAAATGGCAAATAAACTCAGTAAACTCCTAGTACTAATGATCAAAAAAAGGAGAAAATTTTGCAAGAAAAAAGAATTCCAAGGCTGTGCAGATCATACGGAAAATTTTTGACATGAAGAAAACTTAACATCATGTGGATACCATGAAAATTTAGATGAAATTCACAAATTCCCAGGAAAGTAAAAGTTACCAAACTGTCTCAAGAAAAAATGGAAAATCTGAATAGTGTCATATCTATTAGAGAAATTGAGACCATAGTTTAAAACATTCCTACAAAATGTTATTATGGGCTATTTATTTGGTACAAACCTGGTGAATCCAACCAAATTTTCAAGAAAGAAATAATACACATTTACTCAAACTCCTCCAGAGAGTAGAAAAAACAGAAAACTTTTGAACTCTCTTTGTGAGACTACCTTAACTTTAGTACCAAAATCTAAAACAAAATTACAGGAAAGGAAATTACAGGCCACTCCTTTTCTTGAATTAAATTCATGTATCCTAAAAAAAGATCAAATCAACATTCCAAATATAGCTATATTTTATAAGAAGGACATACCATGACCAAATTAGGTTCACACAATGTAATTTAGTACACTAGCCTCTAAAAGAGGAGAAATACTAGTCTCATTAACCGTAAAGAATTAGTAAAATTAAACACCCAATCCTGTTTTAAAACAAACAACAAAAACAATGCTTACTAAATCAGGAGCAGAAGGGAATTCTCTTAATCCCATAAAAAAGCATTTATAGAATAAAAATCTATGGTGCAGTGTTGAAAGCAAGAATGAGATAAAAAACGTTCAATATTACTGCTTTTACTAGACATTACACTGGAGGTCTTGCCTGATGCAAAATTGGCAGGAAGAGAAATGAATAATTTACTTCAAAGGAAGAAATAAAATTGAAGTTACTTCAGACAATATCGTGGTATAAGTATAAAATCCATATAAATTAATGTATTAACTGAGTTTAGTGGTGGCTGAAAACAAGGTTAATATACAAACAAATTTTTGTGTCCATCTACCAGTCATAAGGCATTCAAAATTTAAATTTTAAAAGATGACGTTTACAACAGCTGAAAAGTATGAAATACCTAGAAATAAATCTAATGAAAGTTTCAAAAGACTTCCGCCCATAAATTTATAGAAGAGCATTTAGAAAAATAACAGAAGACTGAAGGAAGTGCAGAGATAAACCACGTGAGTGACTGAACAGACCCAATATCGTACAGACGTCAGAGCCGTCCAGATTAATCTACAGCTTCCATGATGTTGCAATCAAAATTCTCACCTGTTTTGTGGAAATTGCAATTTATAAAATTCTTATGGAAATGATAAAAGAAAAATATAGATAAGACAATCTTGAAGACAAAGAATAGGGTGGGAAGACTTAGTCTACCCGATATCAGGTATTATAGCATCTCAGTATTAGTTTAATCTAAGGATACAAAGGAAATCAACGGAACCGAAAGGCAAGTGCAGGTGCAAGGTGGTCTTGTAGGCACTCACGTATGGACGTCTGATCTACAACAAGGAAACGCTGAGGAGAAGTGGGAAAATGAAAGACTTTTCCATAAACCATGTTGCATAAATTGGCTGGCTGCGTGGAGAAGACAATGACTCTCCACCCTAAAGGATGACTCTTCACACCATCCACAGAAATCGTTATCAGTCAGATTGTAGATCTAAATCTGAAAAGTGAGAGATTTTAAAGGAACATATAGAGGAAGGAGTGATGCCTCTATAGAAAGAAAAAGCGTGCATTGATACCTGCAGGGGTGAGTAGCCGTGGAACAGTGTGAGAGCCACATGAAGATTGGAGAATCTTAAAAATCAGAGCAGAGGCAGTACAGGTAGGCAAGACCAAAGTCATAGAGTCTCTTTTTAGTCTTTCTAAGAGTTTGTGGGATTTTTTTCAGTGGAGGACAAATATGAACGCATTTACATGTAGAAATATCACTTCTGATGCTGGATTTTATGGCAGGGAACCAAAGTAGAAAGTTCTTGTGATAACACAGACGAGAAGTGACTAGAATCTTAACAAAAGTAGTGGAAATGAAAACAAGATGAAATATGCTGGAGGTCATATTAGATGGCAGAAAGTGTGTCATTTTGAGACTCCCTAGGAATGAGGTCTATGACTTGGTCATCTCTATTTCCCTAGAAGGTAACGTGTTATCTGATTCCTGGTGGTTTTCCAATAATTGCTTGCTCATTGAATGAGGGAAACCAGGTCACAGCTTATAGGGGTACAACTGAGTGAGACAGGGACATCTTTTGGCTTTCTTCTGCGAAAAAACTGCTTTCATTAATATGCAAGATAAATACTGAAAAAAAAATAGCTCTCTTTTTTAACTTCGTAAAAAAGATGGTCAGTATTAATTGGGAATAATTTTCTGCAGAGCATTCTTTTATTTAGTGTATAGAGCAACTAAAGAGGGCAATTTAGCTAAACATGTCCAATGCCTTCTTTGGGGGTCTGTGAATAATAGAGAATGACTGAACCAGGGCTGATGACACTTTGCATTTCTCCCCAGACATGGATCAGTGTGTCAGGTGTCCGGATTATCAGTATGCCAACAGGCAGCGAGATCGCTGCCTCCAAAAAGCTGTGACCTTTCTGGCTTATGAAGACCCCTTGGGGATGGCCCTGGCCTGCACAGCTCTCTCTTTCTCTGGCCTCACAGCTGTGGTCCTGGGGGTCTTTGTGAAGCACCTAGACACTCACATATTCAAGGCCAATAATCGGACTCTCAGCTACACCCTGCTCGTCTCCCTCACCCTGTGCTTCCTCTGCTCCTTACTCTTCATTGGCCGTCCCAACACAGCCACCTGCATTCTTCAACAAATCGCATTTGGAGTTGTTTCTACTGTGGCTGTTTCTGCCGTCTTGGCCAAAACTCTTACTGTGCTTGTGGCTCCAAGGTCACTGCTCCAGGGAGAAGGATGAGGCAGTGGTTGGTGTCAGGGGCACCTAACTTCATCATTCCTGTCTGCTCCTTTATCCAACTGAGTCTCCGTGGAGTCTGGCTGGGGACCTCTCCTCCCTTCATTGACATAGATGCGCACTCTGAACAAGGCCACGTCATCATCGTGTGAATCAAGGGCTCGGTCACCGCCTTCTGCTGTGTCCTGGGATACCTGGGCTCCTTGGCCCTGGGCAGCTTCTCCTTGGCTTACCTGGCCCGCAACCTGCCTGACACCTTCAATGGAGCCAAGTTCCTGATGTTCAGCATGCTGGTGTTCTGCAGTGTCTGGGTCCCCTTCCTCCCCGTCTACCACAGCACCAAGGGCAAGGTCACGGTGGCCGTGGAGATCTTCTCCATCTTGGCCTCCAGTGCAGGGCTGTTAGGCTGCATCTTTGTTCCCAAGTGCTACATTATCTTCCTAAGGCCAGAGAGAAACACATCAAATGTGTTAAGGAATAAGATATGTTCAGGGAGAAAATAATCAAAATGTAATTTATTTTCATAAGCCACAAGAATTTGCATACACCTGAAAAATAATCTATCACATAGTTGCAGGCAGACTTTAAGTACCAACTAAATGTACCTTACATCTCCAATTAATTTATTGCTTTATTTTTCTTTTGGCTTTGGACAATGATCCTTGGGCATTCAAATGCACAAATATACAACTATGAATATTACGTCAGATTAATTCTTGTCGAAAATGATGTGTGACAGATTGCAAAAATGGCCACACATTGTCCTCTCCCTCTATTCGTGTGTTTTGGTTGTACCCCCTCATGTTGACTCTGAGTGGACTTGGCCTTGTGTCTTGCTTTGGCCAATGGGACATTAACAAACGACATAAGCAAAGGCTTTGAAACCTCACACACGTTGTTGGTACTTCCCCTTCTCCAGCTGCTCTTGAGAAACATGTGACCATCAATATGTGAACGAGTCTAGACAGATTGCACATCTCCATCACTCCGGGTGACTTGCACTCAACAATCAGATATGTGAGGAAGGCCATCCTACACCATCCAATACCAGCTGAGCCACCAATAGGTCTGGATCAAAAGAACTGCCCAGCTAACCCACAGAATTTAGAAACTGGAAACTATTTCTTCCTCCTTAAAATTAAACCCTGTCAATAACAGAGACTGTACTGCACATGTGTCCGACAGGAATGCACAGCCCTGGTATGACCCTGTAATCAAGAATCTTCAGAAGTGTTACCACTAGAGCCCTTTACAAGGCCAGAAGTCCTTCAATAAGGAAAATCTGGCTTCCAGCAGCCTAAGTAGCTTGATTACCATTTACGGACTGATTCAAGACTAGCCAGTCAGCTTACATGGGCCCAGCTGCAGCTCAGTAGTCCCCAACTCCTTAAGTTTTTCCCCAAACTTGTATCAGAGAGACAGATTTGAGAGCCTTGTCTCCTGTCTCCTTGCCACTTGACCTCACAATAAAACTCTTTCTTTTCTAAAAGTCGGAGCCATAGTATTGGCTTCTATGCACATCAGGCAGTGAGTCCTTGCTTGGTAACACTGGGCACAATGTAATAAAAGAAACACAGAAGATGGAGAATGCTTAGGATACATTTTATGTATTAAACATTCATCAGCCAATAACATTATTTAATCCATAATGTTTTATTCATATCTTACTACGTTTTTTCCATTGGATTTTCTTGCCTCGACTGGTGTTTTAGGATGCTTGGTCCAGGGGTAGTTCAGAGAAAACTCAAGGTAGAATTCTGTCACTATCTGGGTCTTTGTAACTGAATGACATGGTTAAATTTTAGCAACTTATGTTACTATTGTAACATTTTAATCCCTGAAAATTGGAATTGGGTCTGGTCCTGTTGTCAAATGTGCATTGCAATGCTATTGATTTTCCCCATTAAATTGTTCTAAATCATCTCATCAATCTATAGTTATTACTGCCACTTTGTAATCAACGGTGACCAATCCCTAGACCATTAATTCTTAGCAGGGATCATTTTTGTTCCCACGTGGCAATGTCTGAAGACATCTTTGATAATCACAACTGGTGCTGGGGGACGTTACTTGCATTTAGCTGACAGAAGCCAGGAATATTGCTCAATATCCTACAATGCACAGGATGCCCCCACCACAACCAAAAATTATACAGCTCAAAGTTCCAGTAGTGCAGAGCTTGAGAAATAATGCTCTAGGTGGAGGCAAAGAACATTTAATTTATCATCTTTGTCATTCTTACCTTCAAGAAGCTTGTAATTCCAAGAGGCATGATTTACAAAGACCCACATCATTTGTGAAACAGCACACAAAATGTAGGATAACACGTGTTGCAGACTGTAATAAATGAATATTGGAGATGGCATTGAAATTCTGAATAAGACTTTTTTTTTTTTTTTTTGACGAAGATTAGCCCTGAGCTAACTGATGCCAATACTCCTCTTGTTTCCAAGGAAGACTGGCCCTGAGCTCACATCCGTGCCCATCCTCCTCCACTTTATACATGGTACGCCTACCACTGCATGGCGTGCCAAGCGGTTCCACGGCCACACCCGGGATCCGAACCAGTGAACCCGGGGCCTCCGAAGTGGAACGTGCACACTTAACCTCTGCGCCACCGGGTCAGCCCCAAGAAGAGTGTTCTTGAAGGATGTAGAAGCTGATTCTTGGAGAGTGCAATGGGATAAGAGAGGAAGAAAAGAAAATAGAAAGAAGGCAGCCTTCATATTGGGAGAGAGAAAAAGTGTAAAATCGACGGGACCAAGCCCGATGCACCCAGGATATTTGGCTGGTCTGTTCTGTCTTTTTGCAGCTGTCTCGGACCAGAGAATAACAGCAACGTTAGCAGGACTTAAACAGAAGGATGTGCCGACTGCCCAGGAAAGTTGCATGCTGTTTTTCAGGAGCTAGTTCCCAGGAGCTGCTATTTCTTGTCCCTGTGGTTTCAGCCCCAAGCCATCATATTTCCATTTTCAGTTCAGGGAGATGCTTATTTCATTTTTAACATGGTTTTCTTTTTAATATATATTTGGAATATATTATCTGTCATTTTATTTGTTTGAAGCAAAAGGAAGATTTTCTCTTCAATTCACTGGATCCTTTTGATGGGAAGTGACCCCATAAAATCTGTCTACTTATAAACTATTTTTTAACAGAAAACAGAGTCTACTACAGTGACTGAACTGCACACTGCTTTTTTTCACACGAAGCATATATATTGGAGGTCTTTTTAGAAAACCACATGAAAATATGTCTCATTTAACAAATTTGGCTGCATATTATTCATTACATTATGTTGATGAAAATAATAAGAATAATTAGAAGTTTTCACAAATTGAGGTATATGGGGAAGCTGTTCTGGTTTAAACCTGATTCAGCCTAAAACTTGTTTTTTCCCAGAGCAGCCTGACTTATGGCCCGTAGAACATGCGTTATACATCTGCTTCAAACATTTTCCCAGAGCAAAGAATGCACTCATTAAAGATAAGGATGAACATCTCCCTCTCTGATGCCAATACTAGTCCTTCTTTGAAGATTAGCTTTTCTTTCAGGAAAACCAAGGTCAAGGTTAGCTGCTGTGTGTGTGCCGAGCTGCAGCAAAACGTCTCCTTGTGACTTTGAGGAAAAGAAAATTGTATTCCTATCACGTGTGTTCTTTGCTCTGAAACAGTATATAACCGTGCTGTAAATCACGCTTCTGCAAAGTGATTTCTTCCCTGGTGGAGATTGCACTCCTGGGCTAGTCCTCAGCTTGGCTCAGGTAAATATCACCTTATATTTCTAATCCATGGATTGGTTACTGATTATTTCTGTCAATGATATGGACATAGAAATTATGTAAACAGTCCTGATTGATTGACAACTTGTTTGCATTACCAACAGTACTCCAGTCAACATACTTGGAGAATTTTTGTGAATACATCTGTTGTCTTTAAACAAAATGCCAATTATTAAATGTGAGAGTGCTCTTTAATTCAGATTTTTGGCTTGGGCTACAGCAAAGAGTCAGTTCCAATAAGAGACAACCAAGAAAATTGTGAGTCACTTGTTGCTTGCCAGACACACATTTAGTCACATTCAACAAGTTAGTAAACAATTAGCAAATTGATCAAATAAGCAACAATGAGCTAATGAAAGCCCTGTGCTGCCTTATTCCCAGGATTTGATCAGTCTTTCTTGGCCTAGAGCCACTATTTGCTCCCTACTGATGCATCAAGGTAAACCTTTGGTCCTGGATTAAGCAGTGCAAGGGGCTCATGGTGACCTCAGGGCAAACATACAATGGTCCAGTCTGCTCCAGAGAGACTCAGGGGGACTGATGCTGTGGTTTCCTAGTGTTTGGTGGCTGGCAGGGATAAGCCAGGCTAGCTTGGCTGACCTTTGAGTGTGGTACCCTAGTGGACCTGTAAATGTATTTACAGGTCTAAGGTAACATGTTTACACACAAAGTGCTCCTTTTTCCTCCATCCAACACATCACAGCAAATAATTCAGGGTGATATAGTATATCACATCACTTTGAATTTATGTATCATCTTGTATTTATAAATTACACTTATCACAATATCCTTAGGCTAAATTCATAGCAGTGGAATTTTTAAATGAAAGCATTATGGACATATTAAGTTTGGATCGTTAGTGCCAGATTGTCCTCCTGAAAAAGGTTGCATTATATGCGAGTTTTATTCATGTAAAGTTGAAATTGCATGATATAAAAAGTCATACTGTGGACACGCATTTTGAAACCATGTGAATCTCCCTAAATTTTAATTTCTCAAGAGGAATTACATAACTTCGAAGCCAGCAGGTGGAGTGAATCGTACACTCTGCTTATATTGCTGCCATGTGGAGGAGATGCTTGAGGTGTTTAAGCATAAAAGCAACAAATACTTTGTCCAAAACCTAAAAATCCCACACAAAATTTCCTTAAATGAATTATAGTGGTGCTTGGCTGCTATTTTAACATTTACTGTCATTATAATTTAACATTGTTTTAAAAATATTGTCTAGTAACAAAGTTATCCATGCCTTTGTTAATTCTAGTGATGAAAAACACACCCAAAATCCAATAAGCTTGGAAAAGATATTAGAAACAGTAAAACAAAGCAAATAAGGCCAAACCACTGCTGTGATACACCATGCTGGTTTAGGTTGGGAGCATTGACACGAGGACATGTTCGAGACGACACTAAAAAAACAAAATTATCCTTAACCATAGCTTAGGATAGTTTCAAAAGAGTCACCAGGGAAACAAAACAGGAAAGTGCTGGTGACCTGACCACAAGGTCATGTCTGGTGACAGTACACCCCTAAGCGGGGATGGTGGTGTGCTTTTGCATTGCAAGAATGCAACCCCCTTTTTATACTTATTCTTATGGGAATTATTAAATTATGCAAATGTTGAGTGATGCAAGACCCTTGGGAGCATAAAATGCAACAGCCAGGCTGAAGAGGGATCTGTGAGCTGAATCAAGATGTCATCAATTAGTTGTGGGCAAGGTGGTAACAGTTAGAAGAAGAAAACCCACTTCGTTCCCTGATCATTAGAAAGGATTCTTGGAGCATTTAATTGCACGTGGTATCTAATACTGGATTCTGGCTCTAAGAATTCTTGCACGTGCCCTTTTCTCTCTATGGAGATAGAAGCCAAAATAGAGGAGTGTGTCAGCACGCATTTTCATAGGAAAGATGGATGGTGGCATTTGTCCGATCCTATGTGACCACGGGGGGCGCCGTCCAGAAGCAGCTCAGCTTTCTGTGCTTTGCCAAGAAACAGTGACAAGATGAGCCTGAGGCGGCGGTTGGACAGACACGGTGTCTCTCCTGTGACAGAATTCTGATGGCTGCCCCAGTTCCTCCTGCTTGATGGGAGAGAATAGGGAGAAAAAGTTGAAGAGAAATTAATACTTCAGAAATAAACTAAAACTTCTAGCATGTCTAGAGATGATAAACTAGAATTTCTCTAAGGTCCAAAGCTCAGTAAAGAGGTCCTAATATCTGACTTTGCCTAGAGCCTTTTCCCCCAAAAACACCATCTATGATGGTTTTATTTATTTTATCTTTTTACAAACATTTACAGTGTGTTAGCTGTGTGCTGGGCAGCATTCTAAGAACCTAATGAATATGCCCTCATTTAATCCTCACACTGAGAGAGATACTATTATTATCCCCATTTTACAGATGAAGAAACTGAGGCACAGAGACAGTAAGTGGCTAGTGCAAGGTCACACAGCCTGGAAGTGGTGGAGATGGGATTTGAACCCACACTTGGGCTCCATTTAAACAGAACAGTGACGGATCACTTAAATGCTAGAGAGGAGCAATGAAGGAGGAAGATCGATGAAGACTGTAAGCTTGAATATATGATTTTTAGAATGTAAAGTGTTGTCCAAGGATCATGGATTATAATTATCCAGTTCTTGGTGGTCTTCGGGTTCATTCAAAGCAGCAGTTCTCAAACTTTGGTGTGTATGAGAATCACCTGGAGAGCTGATAATTACATGGAGGCCCAGTCTCATTCAAGTAAGATGGAGTATTACTTGTTAGTATTGTTACCAGCTTCCCCAGATGGTTCTGAGAAGCACTGAGATAAATACTCACACATTCGCAACTCAAAAGGTTGCTTTTCACACTTGCTTTCTTTAGAAGATATAGGACAAGAAACAGCATCGCCTACAGGGCAGTATTAAGTATTTCCCCACAGCGACTGTCCTCGTAGATTTCCAGGGACTATTCTCTTTGGCCCTTGCGCTGAACACTTTTGGTGCCCCACCCAGATCCTCTTTATCAGGCCAGCACACTCACACTCCAGCTGCTGTGAGTGTTGGTTACTAATGACTTACAGCTTCCTCCTTCTCCAGAGAACTGCCCTCAGTCAAAGGAGCTGCCTCTCCAGGAAGGTTAAACACCATTCTTTCTCAATAAATCACAAGGATTCTAATCTCCATCTCAGGCTCTGCTTTTGAGGAACTTAACCTAAGGCAGCCCCCTCCCCCGCCCCCCACCGCCAGGAGACAGCTCAGGTGTGAGGGAACAAGACCATGTGGGAGAAAATGTGCAGCGGCTATGCTGGCTTAGAAGCTCCATGTCCCTGATAAAGCTTGTATCCCTTGCAACAGCTCCATGGACATAGCATCCAGGCCACAGTGTGGGACAAACCCAGCTACAAGAGTCACAGCACTCAGGAACCTATGGCTTCCTACCAAAACGCTTAGAATCTATTCCTAATCCTCCCAAGCTAGATAATTTCACAAACCAGGGATTGTTTTCATCAGATACATCCATCAAGTTTTTACTCAAATGTCAGCTGCTCATGAGGCCCCTCATGGCCATGTATTTAAAACTGAACTCCTCCCACTCCACGCATTCCTGATTTCTCTTCTGTCTCTTTTTTTCCATGGCTTATATCACTTTGCAACATACTGTATAATCCACTTTTTGTGGTTTATTGTTGCCTCCCCACTACCAGAATGTCAGCTCTGTGAGCACAAGAATTTTTGTCAATGTGCCCCGTGCTCTTTCCCCAGCACCTAAACCTGTGCCTGGCACATACTATACACTCAATAAATATTTGTTAAATGAGTCCTATTAAATAAATTTAAAATTTTTTGTTAATTATCACCAGATATTTGTGGATGGACTGAGGAAAGAAAGAAGGAAGGAAGGAAGGAAAGGAAAAAGGAAGGGAAAGGAAGGATGGAAGGGGGGAAGAAAGAAAGAGGAAGAGGGGAAGAGAGATGGAGGGAGGGAGAGACAGAGAGAAAGAAAGAGAGAAAAAGACAGGAAGGAAGGAAAGGAAGGGAGGGAGGGAAGGGAAGAAGATAGGAGGGTGGGAGGGAAGAGAGGAGGGAGGGAGAGAGAAAGAAAGAAAGAAGAGTTCTTCTGGTTTTGGTCTCAAAAACCAGAAATTTCAGCTGCATAATGCAGGAACCTAATGAAATTTCTCATTTGTTTCAGATCAAGAAGCCAGGAAGCTCCTGGTAGCACAAGATGTTGGGTTCAGACAGACACGGCATTGCAGAAGAGCTGACCTTACCATTTTGGTGTGGGTAGTAGAAGGAGATACTTCAGTGCTTTCAGTTTCAACCCCTTTCAGCATCCCACTAAACCATTTCCTGTATTCCTTTCGCACCTGAATGTTTGAGGAACATTGAGACTTGTGTTACATCCAGAGCTTGGTTCAGGAGAAAAGACCCTAAAATAGGAGACTAAAGATATAGGTCTAAGCCCTACACTCTACTGCTCTCTCATTGGTTTTCTGTATAATCTTGGCCGTGCTTATGTTGATTCATTTTACTTAAATTCAGCTTCCTCAATAGGAGAAAAGGTGCTTACTAAGTGTCAGGCACCAGATGGACTTTATATATAGTGATGATGATGATGATGGTGGTGGTGGTGGTGTTGATGAAGGTTATGGTGGTGATGGCAATGATGGTGACGGTGAAGGTGATGAAGATGGTGGTGATGATAAAGAAGGTTATGATAATGATAATGAAGGTGATGATGAAGATAATGAAGGTGGTGATGGTGATAGTGAGGAAGGTGATTATGATGATGATGACACTAATTATGAAAGTGATTACAGTCATGATAATGATGATAATGAAGGTGACGGTGGTGTCGGTAACTATGATGATGAAAGTCACTCTTTATGGAGCACAGCCATGTTCAAGGCACTGTATACGCAATATATCATTTAATCCTTACATGAACCCAATGAGGAAGGTACTTCTCTTACCCCCAATTAAAGATGAAGAAGTTGAGGCTCTTGTAAGTAAATTGACTTGTTTAAGGTCACACAGCCAGTGTTCAGAACCTTGTCTTCTTACCCCAGATCCCTGACACTAACCCCTACACCAAACCACACCCTATGATTCCATGAACTGCCTTCTTTTAACCTCCTTAACATGTTCTTAAGAAGACATTTAAGGATTTAATATTCGACATTATTTCACCAAGGCACTTAAGTTGTATTTTACTTCTGTGAGTGAGGAATACCAAGCATTAGGAAGGCAATAAAAGACAGAAGACAAATTAGTGAAGTATTAACATGGTCTTTTTGCCTCTAGCATCTTAATTGGTGGTAGTTCTACTCAATAGCAATGGGAAAAAATCCAGAAAAACTTGTACCAATGTTCCATAAAGAACGAATTATAATAATGACCTCACTGAGAACATAATGTGTGCCAAGGACTGTGTTATAAGATTTATATTGCATTATCTCGTTTAATTCTCAAAATCATGAGGTATATATTGCCACATTTGTGGATGAGAAAACCAAGGCTCAGAGAGGATAAGAAACCTGCCCAGGTCCACACAGCAACTCATTCAGTGGAAAAACTGGGATTAGAGCTGAAGTCTCTCTGAGTTTGTAGTAGATTATGCCAAATATTCCAGTGTCCCTCCCTATAGGGCACCTCACTACTGGAAGATTATTGATTTTCTCTCTGGTAAATTCAAGTATGGCCATGTGACTTGTATTGGCCAATGAAAGAGAGCTAAGCTGTACTTTGCCATGATCTCCTCTCCCTTTGCCATAAGAATACCAAAGTTCTAAATAAGGGCTGCCCCTTCGGCCTACAACCCAGAGTCAAGACAATGGAGATCAAGCCACAGCTATGTAGCTTGAGTGATAAATAAACCTTTACTGTTGTAAGCCACTGAAATTAGAGAGGGGGGAGCTATCTGTTACTGCAGCATAATCTACCTTATCCTAACTGATACATGCTGTGCTTTGAACTGAAATGTGTCCCCCTGAAATTCATATGATAAAGTCCTAACCCCTGAATATGACTGTATTTGGAGATATGACCTTCATGAAAGTAATTAAGGTTAAATGAGGCCATAAATGTTGAGCCCTGATCCAATAGGATTAGTGTTCTTAGAAGAAGAAACATGAAAGATGTCTCTCCTTGTCTCTCTCTTCGAAGAACACAGTGAGAAGTTGGCCATCTGCAAGCCAAGAAGAGAGCTCTCATCGGAGCCTGACTGTACTCATACCCTACTCCCAGACGTCTAGCTTCCAGAATTTTGAGAAGATAAATTCCTGTTGTGCGAGCCGTAAAGTCTTTGGTATTTTTGTTGTGGCATCCAAACCAGATGAATGCATGCTCTCAAGAGATGTTAGAATGCTAATGAAACCCAGAGCACATGGCATACCCAAGCAGCACCTTAACTCTCTTCCCAGAATCAAGACCACCCAAAAATACAAACATAAAAGGTCAGAGAAGAGTGAGAATGTGAAGGACCATTCAATAAGACTTTGGGACTAGGCTGGTGGGAGACAAAAATAATTAGCCTTACCTGGCGATTAAGGAGACAGTGTACCAAAAAGAGAAAAAAGCCCTGCAGGACATTGATGATGGTGAATGCGTAGGCAATGACTGCTCCGATTGTATTCCCGACTTCTTCAACCATAAAAAAACCAAGGCCCCAAGAACAGCCCAGGATAAATAGCTGAGCAATGGCTTTAAATGTCATGACTCTGAAAAGGAAAAAAAGTAATAATAACTACCATTTAACAGGCATTCACTACATGTTGGGCACTGTGCTAAATGCTTTGCATGCCTTACCTTATTTAAACCTCACAACAACCTTCTGTAGTTAAGGAACCTACAAAAGTCATGCAGCTTGACAATGAGGCAGAACCCAAGTTTTCAACCACTACCTCTGAGAATAACACTTTCTCCCACTCTTTGTAAATGATTTATCTTCAAAGTCTTTTACCTGGACCTATTGGAAGATTTGTGGAAAGTGCCTTCTAGAAATTTGTATTGAAAAATTTGGATGATGATGACATCACGACTTCAGACACGTCATAGTGTTGGATTTCTTCCAACAAAAATTGTGTTTGGTAAAATGTAATGGGGCGGTTGATGGCAGCTGGCTGGGAGAGTTGGTGCATGTGAGTGTGTATGTGTGTGTACAAGTACACATGCATGAGCCTGCCCTCATCCACACACGCGTAGAAGGATGGGAAACACTAAGAAGGGTGACATTCTGACCCTCTTGAGGAAACTGAGAAGAGATGAAGAAGATGATGAAGAAGAGAGAAGATGAATAAACTCAGGTTAAGAGATGTCAGGTTGGTCTGATAAGTAGATGAGATCAAAGCCAGGGTATGAAGTTGGAGAGAGATTCTTTTAAGTTTTGTCCACATGACTCATCAATGCAAGGTAAGAAGAGCAGTTTGTTCCTCTTATCAATGGGGATATTAGTAATGTTCACCACGTAGGTTGGAGTGATGAGCATTCAATGAAATAATACTTGTCAATGCCCAGCATCTATCAAGTTCTTAGGTAATATTAGTTGTTGTCGTCATTATTTTTAATAATTCAGATCAGCACCAGTGACAAATGAGTTTCTACAACCAAGGAGAATGGAATCCAAAAGTAAGTGTACCCTTAGGGGGGAAAAGGATAATACTCTAGGCGTTAATTTTATATGAAGTGTCATCTCTTGATACTCTTGGCATTCATTTTATATGAAGAGTATGCTACACAAAGGAGGCACCCAATGAATATCCGCTGAATAAAGAGATGAGGCAGTACATTGTTACCTGAAAATTATATTTTTTACTTCTATAATTTGTCCCTCATGTACTATTTATCTAGTACCAGGAAACTTTATATCATATTTTTTATGGGTTTTTCTTCCCCTGACAGAATGGTCCTGTAGGTAAAAAAAATCTGTGGATACCACTGATTCTTGTACCTTCTTACCTGGTATCCTGAATGGTGGAAACTTCTTTATTGAGGGAGGAAAGTTTGTTTCTCAAAATCCACAGAATTAGGAAGCAAAACACCAAGTTTATCTGTGGAAACAGCATGGCAAATTGCTTTGAAATTTTCTTTTGAGGCATGTCATGTAACTCAACTTGAGCTGGACCTAAAAATTTTTTTCCCAAAAGATACAGGCTTTATAAGGATGATATGGATGTATGCTCTTGTCTTTTATACAGCATACAGTATACAACCAGTGTCACTTGATGTTTGATTAGGGTGACCATATAAATTATCATTCAAACTGGGACACCTTGAAAGTGAAAGAGTGCTATTTGTATCTATACGAGGTCAACAGATATAAATAGGAAGTTCCTGGCAAACAGGAAAACATGTCACTCTATGCAGAATAGATACTTGCTAAATATTTGTTAAATGAATGCATGTAAAATTTTGAAAAGAACGCCCAGCAGAAGGTTATGATATATTAAAGCAACCAGTGAGCTAGGGGAAGTCAGGGAAAGACATGTGAAGACAGTATTTCCAGTGAGAGGAGTTGATAACATTAGGCTGTATTTCCTTATCTTCATCTCATTTCCACTTTAGCAGATAAGAAACATACTTTCTATGCTTGGCCAACCCAGGGTGGGCACACCAATAAATAACTATCACTGGTCACCTACCAAGATAATGACCGCCACTGGCCCCATGAAGCTCCAGATGAACCCTTTATGAACTTTGAGCCAGCAGCTGTTGAGAGAAAGATAAGGATTAGCTGCTTATTCCTCAGGAGAAGGCAAAGGACTTGAACCCATGCTCCTGTAGCAAGATCTGAGCAGTGCCAGGAGCTGTTCAGTTCAGATCTGGATTCTAGAAGGAATCGGACAAAGATTCCTCATCTGACACAAGCTCTGAGTCTCCATTTCCCCATGTGTAGAGTGGGGCCAGCAGAAGTATTGAAAAGATGAAATGATTACTGTAGCTCCAGACCAAGTCTCGAAGTCAGGTGGCGTCAGGGCTCTTCGTTCATCTCCTTCAACATTGTGTTAGCTATTCTACGTCTTTTCCCTCTCCATACAAACGTTAGAATCAGTTTTTCAGTAGCCACAAAATAATTTTCTGAGATTTTGATTGAAAATGCACTGAATCTACTCAGGTTGACCTTTTTTTTTTTTTTTTACAATATCGAGTCTTCCTATCCATGAACATGGACTCTCTCCCCATTTTTTGAAACTTTTTTGATTTCTTTCATCAAAACTTTCCTCGTATATCTCTTATAGGAAAGCTTAAATGAGAAAAAGTGCATACAGTTTTTAGATACAGTCCCTGTCAAAGAGTTAAGGTTCAAGAAATTTAGGCACCCTAATAATAACGATTGCTATAATAAGAAAGAGAGTAAAAACAATAATTTAACTACAGCTATCAAAACTACCAACACTAATTAAGCATACTCCATATACCAAATACTTCATTGCCAAAATACTTTGTGTTCTGTCATGACTTACGTTGCCAAAGGTGGTAGAACTTACTCTGAAAGGGGACCTGGCAGTACAAAACTGGTAAAAATAACAAGAAATTGCCAACTCTTGGTGGGCACAACATCTCCTACACTTAGCTCTATTCTAAGGGTTGCAAACTATGACCCACGGGCCAAATCCAGTCCACCTCTTGTTTTTGTAAATAAAGTTTTATTGAAACAGTCATATCCATTCATTTGTACCTTGTCTATAATTGCTTTCTCACTACAAGGGCAACACTGAGCAGTTGCCACAAAGGTCATATGGCCTGCAATGCCAAAAACAGTTACTATCTGTCCCTTTACAGAAAAAGTTTGCCAATCCCTGATCTACCCTACCATTATATCTCCAGAATCATTCTGGCAGGACACGAAGTTCAAGTTCTGGAGATAGGGCATCTTTTGACTTCAAGAGGGACAGCCTCATACATGTTTTTTAGCACACATACACCTACTTCCCAACCCAAACCCCATTGCCAAAATGCTACTTTCTTCAATGAATTTTGCAGAGCTCTGAAAATCTCTTTTGTGAGGCAGAAAAACATGTATTTAGAGCACTGCCTTGGGAATTCTGACTCGCTGTTTTTTTTAGCTGTGACCTTGAGAAAGTTTACTAAATGCCCTATGCCCGAGATGTCTTCTGCGTGAGGTAACAAGCAGTGCTGACATCACAGGGTCATAGAGAGAATGAGTTGAGATACTGCATATAGGAAGCACAATCTCTGATGCATCCCAGCCCTTCAAGATTTGTTGCTACTGTTGTATTATTTACATTTTGGAGACTGGCTTCAACCTATTCAACCTACTCTTTCAGAACATAGAGCCCACAGGTTCTTAATGTGGGGTCATGGATATGCTTCATCTGTCCCTGAATTTCCTGAAGTTGCATCCAAAACTTTGTATGGATATACAGTTGTCTGGGGAAATAGATCCTGGATTTCACCAGCACTCTCAAAGGGATCCAACCTCAAAGATGCTGAGAACCACTGCTCTACGGACTTCCAAGAGAAAACAGAATTCAAGTTTAAGGAAGGACTTGAGTTTGAAGTGCAATTCAAAATTGGAAAATGGATTAAAAATTATTTTTTAATTTCAGACCATGTGTTGGCCATGGACACCACTTCCACCATAAATGCAAACATCATGCTTACTGAGTATAGGTTCCATAGTTTTTGTGTCCTACTATTGCAGACACAGCCACAATCACAGCTGGAATCCCATAGCCGAAAGGGTACATGAACCTCTTGTTGAATCTGCGTATGGTGGTGTAGTTGGCCACCGTGAGGTTCCTAACAGTGAGGAAGAGGTACAGCCCTTCCAGGAGCATCCAGGTGAAGGAGGCCAAGTAGAGATAGTGCAACACCCCTGCGATGATGGAACACAGCACCTGAGGGGAGAGAAGCGTTAGGAATGTGGAGCTGATGTGGTCCGTACCTGATTGTATCCTCAGCACTCATCATTTCCTGGATGCTGGCCTGGAATCTCAATTACTAACACCTGTGCCATTTTGCCTGGCGGCAACACATATTCTGGGGGCTTTCGATGGCCATTGATATCTGCTTGCCCTGTGCATAAGACAGGCCAGAAGTGCCAAGGAAGGAATGCCGTGAGAGCAGCCCTCAAATCCATGATGGAGGAGAGCTGACAAACAAATCCTCCACTGAGCTTGCCCTTTGCGTGGGGGTGATGGTTAATTTTATGTGTCAATGTGACTGGACTAAGGGATGTCCAGACAGCTGGTAAAACACATTCTGAGTGTGTTTGTGAGGGTGCTTCTGGAAGAGATTAGCATTTGAATCAGTAGACTGAGTAAAGAAGATCACCATCACCAACAAGGATGGGCACCATTCAATCCATTAAGGGCCTGAATAGGACAAAAATGTGGAGTAAGGGAGAATTTTCTCTCTCTGCTTGAGCTGTAACATCCATCTTCTCCAGCCTTTAGACATCAGCAGTCATGGTTCCAATAAAATTCTATTTACAAAAACAGATGGTGGGACAGATTTAGCTGGAGCATTATAGTCTTCCAACCTCTGCCCATTTTCAAATGAGTAACCTGAGACTCAGAGAGGTTAAAATCTCACCCAAGATCACACAGCTAGTGAAAAATAAAAATGAATTTGAAACCCGAGCTGTCTCCAGAAAGCATACTCACTCTTAACCATAGTACCATAATGCCTCTCAGGGGGAAAAAATAGTGCTTTCATAACCTGCTGGCTGTGAGATCAGTCTTTTAGGGTTAGAAGGAACCTTGGAGGATATTTAGTTCTAATTCTTCCTGGATATGATGATAAGGATGATCATGATCAAGCTAAAAGCTAAATTGTTGTCTGAGTGATTAATCCAGACTCTTTTTATGTTTTATCTGGCTAAGGCCCTGCTAGAGCCCCATGATGATGCCCATGTTTTAGAGAGTAAGTTTAAACAGGAGAAATCATCCCCAAAGAAGACATACCGATGGCCAACAGGCATATGAAAAGATGCTCAACATCATTAGCTATCAGGGAAAGGCAAATCAAAACTACAATGAGGTATCACCTCACTCCGGTCAGAATGGCCATAATTAACAAGACAGGAAACAACAAATTTTGGAGAGGATGTGGAGAGAAGGGAACCCTCACACACTGCTGGTAGGTGTGCAAACTGGTGCAGCCACTGTGGAAAGCAGTTTGGAGTATCCTCAGAGAATTAAGAATAGATCTCCCATATGATCCAGCTATCCCACTGCTGGGTATTTATCCAGAGAACTTGAAAACACAAAGGCATAAAGATACTTGCACCCCTAGGTTCACTGCGGCATTAACACAATAGCCAAGACTTGGAAGCAACCTAGGTGCCCATCAAGGGACGAATGCATAAAGAAGATGTGGTATATATACACAATGGAATACGACTCAGCCATAAGAAATGATGAAATCCGGCCATTTGTGACAACATGGATGGACCTTGAGGGTATTATGCTGAGTGAAATAAGTCAGAGGGAGAAAGTCAAATACCGTATGATCCAACTCATAAGTAGAAGATAAAAACAGTGACAAACAAACACACAGCAATGGAGATTGGATTGGTAGTTACCAGAGGGGAAAAGGGGAGGGCAAAAGGGGTAATTAGTCTCACATGCGAGGGGATGGACTATAGGTTAGTTTTTGGGTGGTGAACATGATGTAGTCTACACAGAATTTGAAATACATTATGCTGTACATCCAAAAGCTATATAATGTTATAATCCAATGTTACTGCAATTAAAAAAAAAGAAGGAGAAATCACTTCAACAAGATCATATAGCAAGTAGGAAAAGAGTTGAGATTCAACTGAAGATTAGTGTGGCAAAGCCACCGTCCACCAAAAATTCAAGCCCCGCTCCAACCCCAATTCTAGAATATAGATTTGTCACTAGGACATGACTTCCCAGCCAGAGACTACATTTCCCAGCACCCTTTGCAGTTAGGAGTGACCATGTAACTGAGTTCTAGCCAATGGAATGTGAGAGGAAGTGAGATGTACCACTTCCTGAGGGGGCCCATAGAAACCTCCTTCATGGGACTCCACCATGCTCTTTTCACTTTCCAGTTGGCTAAAATGGACAGGATCCCAGGATGACCTTGAAAGCTGTGTATGGAAGACAGAAGAGCCTCCATCAACTGGAGGTTGGAGGATAGACATTCTTCAAACCTGTTTGCTCTCCCTCTACTGATACATAGGGGAAAATTAACCACTCTTGTGATAAACCACTGGCATTTGGCGTTTATTTGTTACAGCAGCTCTTGTAATCCTATCTAATACCATCAGTCTGACTCTCAATCACTTAGTTAAATGGCCCATTGGAAAATATAGGTCTTATTCAAAGTGACACAGGAAGACAGCTGAAATGGAAACTCTTGCTTTTTCCCCCCTACACCATCACTGCTGATTTTTGCCTCTCTCCCCATCTTTCCTCAAGAACTATGGCTAGATTTGATTATGACAATGAGATAATTTGGTTAAATGATATACCTTAGGCTCGGTTTGATCCATCCCTGTGAGGAAGAGGAGGTTGGCCAGGAAGAGGCAGATTGAGAACTGCAGGTGGAGGGTGGTGCTGATGTTCTGAATGGGTCGGCAGAGGAGGAAGGTGAGGGCTGCCAGGAAGAGGCACAGCAGAGACAGGCTCAGTCCCACGTAGGTGATCACCTCCAGAATAGGATCCACCTATGAGCCACCAAAGGAGGAATCTGTTATAGTTTCCAACTCTGCATTTAGGATCCTGATGGAGTATCAGACGGCTTTCCCAATTCAGTCCGTGAAACAAGTGACTTAATCTGAGACTTGGTGTTCCTATCTTTAAAATGGGGACGGTAATAGCATTTACCACACAGAGCTGTTGAAAAACAAAAACCACTAGACTGGTGCTGTCCGATAGAAATGTATGAGCCACATGTGCAATTTTACCTTTTCTAGTAGCCATGTTTTTAAAAATGTAAAAAGAAACAGGTCAAATTAATTTAATAGTATATATTCAAAATATTATCAGCTCAATGTGCTCAATATAATATAATCAATATAGTGATACAAAAAAAATACAAGTTCAAATTGCAATCAATGTAAAACAATTATTAATATTTGATATTCTTTTTTCCATATTAAGCTTTTGAAATCCAGTATGTATCTTACACTTATGGCACATCCTAAGTCAGATGATATATTTTCAATGGTGGAAGTGAAATGTGGTCCTATGAAACAATGAAGTTGTGTTTTAAGGAAAAATATTTCACACTGCTTCTTCATTTAAATCAATTAAATTTAAATAAAATTAAGGATTTTGTTCTTCAGTCATACTAGCCACATTTCAAGTATGCAATAGCCACATGTGGCTGGGGGTCCTATTAGACAGCACAGCACTCAAAAATAATCTCCATGAAGGCTGGGATTTCTTTACCTGTCTTGCTCTCTGCTGTATCCCCAATGCCTAGAACAGCATCTGACATACAGTAGGCGCTCATATATGAACTTGTTGAATGAATAAAATGAGGGCATGCATTTCAATATGCAATGTAATGGTTTTCATACAGTAAATATTCAATAAATGAGAACTAAAAAGAAATAGGGGAAGAATTTAGGTAAATTTCTTTAAACCCGAGTTATCCTAGACATGGTGGGTGCGTGGGGAGTTCAGAGGGCAATGCTTTTCCATTGGTGAGTGGATTGCCTTCCTTTTGGTCCGACCAGGAAGCTTTAGCTCTTGCAGAGTAACAGGTATTTTTGATTCCAAATCACCTTGGACCTTTCCACTGTAAGGGCTGATAACTCAACTTCTCAATGTCTGAGAACTTTCTCTGCTAGCTTGAGCTCACTCTGCCCATGCCCACGGAAGCATCAGAGAATTAATATTCCCCAGATGCAGCTTTCAACAAGTGACTGGAGAAGGTGGTGTATGAATGCTTCAGCTCTCTACCTGTCCAGTTAGGACGACTCTGAGCTGTGTCTTCTACACTGACTCCAAGAGTCCTCCAGAGGGAATTAAGCTTCAGGTACCCACGGTGGTAACTAGAATGATAATTCTCTCTGCGTTGGCTTCTGTCCTTTTCCCCTTTCACTTCCCCAGTCTCCAACTGGTGCTTCCTGGAATTAGCTTCCACTGGATTCCCTATCTTAGAGTCTTTCTAAGACACGAAGAGGACCTCCCAGCTTCCTAGACACAATCAGATTCACAGGAGGGGACCATGAATCTTGGTACCTTTGGGGCAAGAGCCAAGAGCACAGCAAAGCTTGAAAGATGGAAGCACTTGCATTTGGTGTAAGAATCGTTGCTGCCCATATGATAGCAGCCCTCCGTCGACCAGCTGCCCCCCTCCTCCGATCCTTTCCAGTAGACACAGAAAGGTTCTGTTCTGGCACCACCACGCTGGAAAGAGGATAGCATAAAAATGTGTCTCTTTCTGGTTTTATCATTTCAACTCCATAGGTTAGTCACAGATGCACTGGGTTGGAAACTGAATTGGGAAAAATTTCATCACCTGGAACAATTGTGGGGAAGAGTTCTATACCAACATCTGCTGTGGGGTTTATTTATCATTCATTCTGCCCTTCTCTGGTCACCTCAGAGCCCAGGGGATTGGTCCTTATGAACTGCTTCACCTAGGCTCCTTGTCATTGGTGGAACCAATGAGAGGAACTGGTGAGAGGTCATTGGATGAGAGGAGAAGGGAATATTTACAGAAGTCTGAAATACAGGAGTCTGCATTTCTTCCAGACTCCTTTTCTGCTCCACGTATCTCCATCTTCAGCTGGGAATTCCCTCTTCCATACCTCTAGCTCTCTTAGGGCTCAATAATATTCATCCCTCCAATTGCCTTTTTGGCTCAAATGTGCTAATAGCTTCCCTTGGTGACAGTCTCTAGGTTTTCTTTCATTTCTTGTTAGTTCTCTTCATTCTGAATGATCAGAGTTGGGCTCAGTTCCCTGCCAGGACTCTGAAAGTACATCCCATTAAGGTAACGCATAGAGGACCAGTCCTGGGTTTTGCTCACCTGAGTATGTTGGAAGGTCAGGAATACAGGTTCAGACAGATCAATCTTTTCATTCACACCAATGGTGCCACTCACGATATGAGAGTTCAGTTTCACTTTCCGTATCCCTTTTCTGTCGCCAAAAAAGGATCCATTCAGCACATCCCCAAGAGATCGATAAGTGATAAATGCAACTGTGCTCCTCTCTGAGAAAATAGGAGAGAAATCATTTTAGAAGGTGTCCACAGTTTGAAGAATCGGTGTATTAGAGTCTTGTGTGAGTCACAAGGCAAACACAATGTATAGTCAAAATGCTCTTGGAAATCCCTTAAATTGCCCAATCAATGCATTACATGTAGTTTGGGGAACAGCATTTTGCATCTGTAATGCATGTTATAATACACCACACCTTATAAAGGACATGTGTGAAACATATCTCATCGATATGTTGTAAAAATATATATGAGCCCTTAGACATCAAAATCAGAGTCATGAGGCAAGATATTTGTCCTCAGAAGGTGGGACTGAGGTAGGATGAGGAAACCACACATTCTCATCTTCCGTCTCAAGCTCACTCTGGGCTATCTAATTTAGTGGAAAGGATGCAGGATGACCCATTAGATTTAACTCATTCTCCTTTCTTCCCTCTCTCTCCCTCTCTCTCTGCCTCTTTCTCTGTCTCTGTCTCTCTTTCTCTTTCCCTTTCTCCCTCCTGTCCTTTTCCCCTCCCCTTTTCATATGAGAATAATTTAATTTATAGAAGTTAAATGCACATGCGATGCTCTGTAGCATGATGGAGTGTTTCCTAAACTGCAACTATGTATTCGTGTGCTGCCATCCCAGTTTTAGCGAAAGCCACTTACCACCTGTATTATTATTCATTCCATTTAAAAAACAAACTTATTTTTCTACCTTTTCACCTCTCTGGCCTGCATTCTACAGCTCATAGTAAGGACTGAAGATTAATAAGTAGCCAGAAACTTTCTGGAGAAAATGTGGCAGGTGTTTCACTCTTTCGAGGTAACCGGGTCTTTTTGAAATATTTTTCATGCATCCATTGATTAATATGTTTATTCCTTTAGTCATCTAATATTTATTGAGCATCTGCTGTGTGCCACACATTGTTCTAGGCATTGTGGTACAGCAGTGGACAAAACAGGCAGGGTCCCTGCCATCAGAGAGCTGGCATGATGGGAGTGATGGACAGCAAACAAATAAATACATTAGAAAAATATTGCATAATGTGGATGCTATGCAGAGACTTAAATAAGGTGACAGAATAAAGCAGGGGTGGCAGACTATTGCCTGAGGGTCAAATCCAGCCTACAGCCTGTTCTTATAAATAAAGTTTTATTGGCACACAGTCATGCCCCTTCATTTATATATTGTCTATGGCTGCGTTCCCACTACAATATCAGAGTTAAGATCATCTGGCCCCAAATGTCAAAAATATTTACTATCTGGTCCTTTCACAGAAAAAGTTTGCCAACCTGTGGGATAGAAGAAGACTGGGTGACTATTTTAAATAGTACGATCATAAAGTACGTACATAAATAGTACGATGCTACTCAAGGAGAAGAGTGTTTGAGACAACATTCATCTGCCACTACTGAGTGTTACCTTTTCAGACCATCACATGGAAACAGGGTATGCACCTGCCTGTCCCTTTAAGGAAGCATGTCAAGAGAGTTTGAACCTCAGTCTGTGTCACAAAGTACACGCAAAGTGTGCCCCCCAAATTGCCTGGTTGTGGGCAAGGCAGATCTTTTAATTTCACTGTGTAGAAACCCCCTGCTTTGAAAATTTTGTAAGTCTCCACCTCTTGGACGGTCACCTAGAAACAAAATGACAGAGCCTAGAATTTGCAGTTAAGAGAATCTATCTTAGTTACAGTACCTCTTCTGGCTCCTTTGAAAGCAGCAGTGCAGTCAATATCCATTGTGTTGTTTCCAGCTTCCAGCAGAGTCTTCTCACTTGTCTCATTGCACTTCTTGGTTTCATAGACTGGAAACATTAAGGAAGTGAGTCCTGCTTTGTTCACTTCTCATGGCTAAGAGACTTGTTGAAGAACTCCCTTCTCTGAAAGATCTTTTACTGGTGATTTAATTCTCTGCATGCCAGGTAGACCAGATGGCACACCGCTCCCTCCACATTTCTGGCTGGTGGGGATGAAGTGGTCAAAATGACCTAAGCAACACACACTGACCACACAACCCAGGGGAAGAGAGGAGGTGGCCAAGCTTCCCAGAGCTGGAACTAGAGTGGGCAAGCCTAGCCTTTACAGAGAACATTTACAGGGCAGAAAATGTTAAATAACATGTACTGGAGTGCCTGATGCGGAGGGGAACTTAGTTTTTTAAGTAAGAGAAGCTAAGCATTTAGAAGTTTTCCAAGGAAACAGTCACCTGGGAGCAGATCTGCTGTATTTGGGAAGAGTCCCATGAGTGACCTCTCTCCGTGCCATATAAACATACAAACACAAGGTCTGATGAAAGACCATCCTCATAAAATTTTTTGGTCATAAGGAAAATGCTCAATGTTTCTTACCTATATCAAATTCAGAATTTTCATGCTTTCCTGGAGAAGCAAAACTCGTATTCCATATGGCCAATTCCACGTTTTGAAGGACTTGGGTGGCCTGTTTTGCAATGTGCTCTTTGCTTTCATTTTTTCTCAGAATTTCCTTTCAAAGAAATAAATCCAATTAGGTAGACTCCTACTGAAACTTAAGAAAGCAGGAATATACATAAGTGTGGTTGGGTAAGCCCAGAAGGCAATAATATTTATGAAGTTGTTACTACATTCTGTGCTATCAAGCTGGTATGTGTTTTCTCACTTATTACACACAGGCCTATGAAGGGCGTGTGTTATCGTCACCGTATTTATGAGAACACGAAGGTTTAAAGGATGAGAGATCTGAAACCCATGGCGAGTGCCTTATGGAGGAAGAGAGGGAATGGGAAGGGGGATACGGGTGGAATCAGGCTCTGGATGCTTATGCAAGTCTCTGAATGACAGCTGAGGCATTTAAACCCTTTCCCAGGGCTTCTAGGTCTCTGTTGATACTCAAGACCAGGTAAAGGTTGTGGGAAGCTGTCCTGGGCATTGTAGGATGTTTAGTAGCATCCCTGGTCTCTACCCACTAGAGCATCCTGGGTGGGACAACCAAAAATGTCCCTAGACATTGCCAGATGTCCCTTGGGACAGAGGACAAAATCACTCCTGAGTGAGAACTTCTACGTCCTAAAAGTCATAGGGATCTGTGGTAGTATTTGAGCAGGAGAATGACATGGTAAAACTGATCGGCTGTTCCTGAAACCTAGGCTTCACTTTACTCACCCAAATGGAGGCCGATGGTTTCGCATTATGGGTATCCTCTGGGAGAGAAAAGAAGCCATTAAATGGAGTATGAGAGTTAACATGCCCTGGTTCCCATCCCTTCTTCTAATCATCCTCAAGTTGGGTCTTTCCCTGATGCTTCTACAACCTATCCGAATACTCCTCTCAGAAGTCCCAAATCTCTTCCACAGTAGAATTGGAAAACAGAATTAGGATGGAGCCTCCAGTTCAATAATTCAGTCAATAGTATTTATTGAGCACCTACTGAAAGCCAAGCATGATGCTAAACCTTACGGATACAGGTCGGTAAAGAGCTGAGGGGCATCCCCTTGTGGGATTTTCAGTCTGGCAGAAGTCACTAAGCAAATAATGATAATTAAATAGTTAAGTGATTGCAATGGTCCAATATATTCATAATAAATAAGATGAGATGGCTTGAGAGTATAAAGAAGATGGGTCCAGCACATCATGGGGTGCAGAGAAGTCGTCCTGAAGGAAAGGATGTTAACCAAGTTAATAATTTAGAAGCAGTACTAATACCCACAGTTGTCTACACAGCATGATATATAAAGTACCTTCATATATACTATCTCATTTAAAAGAACATAGAAGGTTCTAGAACAGAGTTAAGTAACATGACAGCTAAAATTTATTGAGTCTTCCTAGGTGCCTAGCACTGCAATAAATACGTTACATGCCTTAATAGTCATAGGTGAGGCGTATTCATTCCCTAGGGCTGATGTAACGAAGTACAATAAACTGGGCTGCTTAAAACAACAGAAATTTATTCTCTCCTGGTTCTGGAGGCTAAAACTCCAAAATCAAGGTGTGGGTAAGACTGCAGTCTCTCTGAAGGCTTTAGGGAAGATCTTTCTTTGCTTCTTCTAGCTTCTGGTTGCTGCCGGCGATCTTTGATGCTCCTTGGCGTATGGCAGCAGAACCCCAGTCTATGCTTCTGTTTGCACATGTCCCTCCGTGTGTGTCTCCACGTCCAAATCTCCCTCTTCTTATAAGGACACCAGTCTTCTTAGATTTCGGGCCCATCGTAATCTATATGATCTCATCTTGATTTGATTATATCTGCAGAGATGCTATTTCCAAATACGATGACATTCACAGGTTTCACGAGTGGACATGAAATTGATGGCACGCTACCCTACCCAGTATTTTAGGTAAGCAGGTTTCTGAAATGACTCTCGATGATCCCTGCCTCACATCCCTTTATTCACTGCCCGTTGACTTGTCACTTCTGAGAGCTCAGAGAAGACTATGACTTCTGTTTTGTTCTCTCTTTATGGCTATTCTCATGTTCTTCTTGTAATAACCAAGCTAGAGAGGCTGGCATGCTAAGAACTGAGGGTGGCCTCTCATCAACCACCAGAGAGGAACTGAGGCCTTCAGTCCAACAACATTCAGAGAACTGAATCCTGCCAGCAGCCCTGTGAGTGAGCCTGGAGGAAGATCTGCCCGCGGGTGAGTCTTCAGATGAGACTGCAGCTCTGGCCAACACTTTCATTACAGTTGTGAGAAACCCTGAAGCAGGGGATCCAGGTAAGCCAAGCCTCAATTCCTGCCCTACACAGACCATGAGACAATAAATATGTGTTGTTTTAAGCCACTAACATTGGAGTTATTTGTTACTCAGCAACACACAACTAATACAGTAGATACTATTATTATTCCCACTTATGGACAAGGAATATGGAAGTTAAGGCATCACCCAAAAGTCAGCTGGTAAGTGATAAAGCCAGAAATTAAATCTAATCTGTCTAACTCAAAACCTGGAATTATACTAGGAACGAGAAAATAAGTAAATCCTGCATGTTGGATCGTGAGAACCTGGTTTCTCAGTGTTGGAGAAAGAATTTACAAATAAGAAAAGAGGGAAGAGTAGATCAAGCCCTGGTGTTGGACTGGAATTGGAGGTATTGCTATGAACTCATGGGCTTTAATACATAGACAGGGAGAGACGTATAGAAAGTGAATTTAAAGAGAGTGAGAGAGAAACAAGTGGAGAAGTCCAGTAGCAAATTAGAGATGTCATTTTGGAAGCCCAGGAAAGAGATCCATTCGGGAGACATAAATTTGTAAGATGTCTACATAGACATGGTTATCAATGTCAGGAGCTTGAATGAGATCTCCCAGGAGAAGATTGTGGAGGACAACAATGGATAGAAGGGCAAGGGCCAGGACACATCTCTACTCTCTCACCCTGGTCTGAAATTGGTGGAACTCTAAAAGGCTTTCCTTCCACCTCCTTCTTCATGGTGGAAAGAGTATTTGGAGGTTCTTACCATAGCAGTCTGGATGATTCACTTTAATGAACTTGGCCACCCAGTTGAAGAGAGGATAATTCGGGACACAGCTGCAGTAGTAACTTCCAATTGTATTTCTGCAATATGATTTCTTCTTGCACTTTGCCAGCCCAGTATTACACTCATCAATATCTGTGAATCAAGAGAAGATCTTGTTGTTCGTCTCATAGAACTAAACCATTCCCCTTGACTGTGAAATCTCTGCTACCCAACACTGTTCATGAATATACCTCAAAGCTCTCCTGTTCTTGGATAAGATAACTCAACATTATAAAGATGATGGCTCTCCTTAAGATAACTTATAAATCCAATACAACGCCAGTAAAAATAGCTACACATATTTTATGGAGTGAGACAAGTTCATACTATTACACAAGAATATCCAGAAAAACTATGCCATGGGAACTAGCCTTACCAGATATGAAAACATACTATAAAGCCTCAGTAAAACAATAAGGTGCTGGTGCATGAATAGATAGACTAATGGGATAGACTAAAAGGCCAGAGATAGACCCAAGCATGTACGGAACTTTAGAAGATGATAATGGTGGTGTGTCAAACTGCTGGAGTATGGATGGGGTTTTTTAAATGCTTGAATCACACAGTTTATTAAATCAATTTAAAACACACAGTAGCAAGGGACAACAGATAGGATAAGTGAATACAGTGAGGTGTCACTTAATGACAGGGATACATTCTGAGAAATGTGTCCTTAGGTGATTTTATCATTGTGCAAACATCGCAGGATAAACTTACACAAACCTAGATGGCATAGCCTACCTCCCACTTAGGCTATATGGTACTAATCTTATAAGACCGCCATTGTATATGCAGTCTATCGTCAACCAAAACGTCATAAATGTCATTATATGGCGCTTAACTATACTATGAGGAAAGGGTGCAAGTGACATAAAGGGCCACACTACTTAAATCTTGGGTTAGGCAATGTTCCTATGTCCTGCTGCTTTCTGCCACATCAGCCTTGGCCACTGATGGACCACAGTTGAGGTTCAAGCAAAGGGACCCATGGACAGAAGGTGTTCTGAGCTGATGACAGAATTATTTTCACTGTTGGAAGGACTCAGGTCAAGTACACTTGGCCAGTGGCTGTAACTTACTACTAGTCTTCTCAGCAGTCAATGGGTTTTGTTTAGGTTGCGGGTTGATGTGTTTTGGGCAGAGGATATACAAGCCAGAACAGCTATCACCAAGGAGCGACTGAATTAAGACTCCACAAAGATGAAGTGCTTGTGTGTAGCTGGTATATATCATATATCTGGGGGTTAACTCCCTCTTAGATACTTAATTTGTCATGAATATTTTGTACCTACGTGTCTCGTGTATATTTACTGCTTCATGAATGTTACCATTGGTCTTTCCATTCCTTTCTATCTACATTTAACACACACAAGCCTTGCCTACTAACCGCTTATCTACACATCACATGAGTTTCATAAATTCCATTTGTTTTTCAACTCTTCTGCAGTAGAACTGAATATTCTCAAGCGTATGACAAATGCACATTACACCTTTGCACATATTTCCCTTCTTATAGTGCCCGTTATCCTGGTCAGGATGTATTTTTTAATAAAACATAATGAGACCTGTACCTCACACCATTCTCAAAAATAAACTCTACATGGATCAAAGATAACATAAAAATAGAACCATACAATCACTAAAATTAAACATAGGTAAATTCTTCTTTAGCCTCAGTGTAGGGGAAGGCATTTTAATGATGACTTAAGATCCTTGATAAACTTACCTACATAAAAAATATTTTTTACTTAACTGCATGGCTAAAAAACATGTAAGCAAAGTCCAAAAGCAAGTGACAAACAGGGAGAAAATATTTGCAATGTATACAACAGACAAAGGACTAACACCTCTAATATGTAAAGAACTCAAAAACTGAGAGACACAGAAACAAAAGCTCAATAGAAACATAGGGAAAAGACATGAACAGATAATTCACGAAGAAGTATAACGCAAATTATGATCCTCCAACATAAAATGTTCAATCGAATTGAGAGTGGAGATGGTTGAACAACAATGTAAATGCACTTTGATGCCACTGAGCTTGAAACTTAAAAAAGGATAAAATGGTAACTTTTGTTATGTATATTTTATTCAACTGAAAAACGGAAATAATTTAAACAAATAAACAAATACGATAGTGTACAATTCCGCTTATATGACTCCCCAGAGTAGTCAAATTCATAAAGATAGAAAGTAGAATAGTAGGTGCCAGGAGCTGGGGGAGGCAGAACGAGGAGTTGGTGTTTACAGGGACAGAGTTTCAGTTTGGGAAGGTGAGAAAGTTCCGTGGACAGACGGTGATGACGGTTGCACAACAATGTGAATGTATTTAACGCTACTGAAAGACACATCTGAAAATGGTTACAGGGTAAACTGTATGCTATGTATATTTTTCCACAATAAAATGAAATAAACTAAATCCTAAATAGTCTACCATTTTCTGCTTCACCTTCTGAATTCACACTGCAACTCCCTCAATCAGACATCGAGTTCCACCGATCCGATACTCGGGAGTGACAGTTCCCTTAGATTTTCAAATTGACCTTTAGAATTTATGGAAATGAGAAGCAGTTTTGGCTGGAGCAGATGGGAGTAACAAAAAGTGAAACTGGAAAACTAAATTGTAGCCAGAGCATGGAAGATATTGAGTGATAAGATGTTCATTTGTTTATTTGTTCTCTTGGTGAACACCTTTTTCTTGGGCACCTGCTATGTGGCGTTATTCTCTGTCCTAGGCGTACAGCGGTAAAGTCAGGTACGACCCTTGCCCTTGTGGAATTCTCAGACAAATAAACAAATAATAAACAGCAGTGCCTGAGACTTCAAGAGGCCAGGATCGTGGGAACTCTACCTTCTTCTAAGGAAAAAACCAAACCGGTATCAGGGATCATCAAGCCAGCATTAGCATGAGAGCGGAAAGGAGATAAGAGCTAGACTTCTCTAAGGACACTGAGCCAGCCCTGCCATTTTTCACCTTGTAATATCACTGCATCTTTGCAGCACTAGCACCCCCATGTAACACAGTGTTTGGGGCTTACAAAGATGCCCCTGACCCCTTCCAAACCCCAAGGTGAGTGTGGATTGCTTCCTTACCTTCACATTTCTCAGAGGACTTGGTGACATATCTCCTCCCAGCCGTGGAATGAAATCCATCTTTACAAGCACAGTGGGTGCTATTGTAGCAGCTGGCATTTTCAGGGCATGGAGGACAGAAAGCTACAGGGAGCACAGGATCCACTCATTCACTTGTTCATTCATTCATTCAAGAAATATTCATTGAGCACCTATGATACATCAGATGTTGTGGCTGGAAGAATGTCTCCTTGGGAATAGCTCTGTTGACATCCCTTGGCACTCATCTCACTGCTGAACACAGATGCTCACAGCGCTTCACCCATATCCCACCTCTGTCTCTAAAACCACTTTTGCCTGACAGTAAAACTTCCAACTGTCAGCACCTGAGTTTCTTTACTGAGGGATTTCTCTGTCCACCAGAGGCCTCTTTGCTTACCACTTGGCAGGTTAGCAATGTCTTCTCGCCCCCACGAGCACCTTCCTCAGTCATTGACTGTCGAGAGTCAGTGTATTAAAAAACCCAGATTCTTTATTACAAAAATTAGACAGAAAGTAACAAGTGTTGGTAGGCTATTGAGAAATTGTAACTCTAGTCCACTGCTGCTAGGAATATAAAATGGTGCAGCTGTTTTGTAAAACAGTATAGCAATTCCTAAAAAAAAATTTTAATTATAATTAACACATGATCCGGCAATTCCACTCCTGGTATATATCCCAAAAAATTGAAAGCAGGATCTTGAAGAGATAGCTGTACAGCCATGTTCATAGCAGCACTATTCACAATAGCCGAAAAGTAGAAGCAACCTAAGTGCCCATTGGTGGATGAATGGATAAACAAAATGTGGTCCATCCATACACTGGAATATTATTTAGCTTTTAAAAAAGAAGGAAATTCTGACACATGCTACAACATGGATGAACCTTAAGGACATTATGATAAATAAATATGCTGCAAAAGGACAACTACAGCGTGATTCCACTTATATGAGGCACTTAGAGTAGTCAGATTCATAGAGGCAGAAAGTAGAATGGTAGGTTTCAGAGGTTGGTGGGAGAGGGAATGAGGAACTATTGTTTAATGGATACACAGTTTCAGGGGTTTTTTTCTGGTGTTTTGGTGAGGAAGATTGGCCCTGAGCTAATGTCTGTTGCCAATCTTCCTCTATTTTGAATGTGGGATGCTGCCACAGCATGGCTTGATGAGCGGTGTGTAGGTCCACGCCCAGGATCCAAACCGGCAAACCCTGGACAGCCGAAGTGAAGCATATGAACTTAACCGCTTTGCCACCAGGCTGGCCCTCACGGTTTCAGTTTTGCAAGAGGAAAAGTGTTCTGTGGATGGACAGTGATGATGGTTGCACAACAGTGTGAATGTACTTCATGCCACTGACTGCAACACTTAAAAATGGTTAAAATGGTAAGTTTTATGATATGTATATTTTACCACAATTAAAAAATAAATAAATAATAGAAAAATAGCTTACCCATTGGGGGGAAGAACTCTGAGGTGCATGCTTCTTATGATATCCAACAGTCTCCAAGGGATCAAACTCAAGTTACTCACATGTAACTTGCTTGATAAGGGACCCTATATTGGCCCCTCACCTCCCCATCTGACGTCCCACTCCCACTTGGTGCTGCCTGGAATCATCTCCCAGGTAAATGACTTCCTCTCAAGTCCTTACCTCGGGGGCTACTTCTGGGAGAGTCCAACCTAAGATATGGGGTAGAGGCAAAACTACCTCCAGCATGACTTGGGACAGAAGCTCTTGGAAAAGAAAGGGCAGAGTCCACCATCCACCAGTCATGTGACCTTTAGCCAACTGCTTCTCTAGAGGGACATTGGTCAAGTGGGGATAATGTCAGGACCTTCTTTGCAAGAATGCCATGAGGATTGAATGAGATGGTATGTGCAATTTGTTTAGCACTGAGCCTGGTGTGATGCAAGAGCTAAGTAAATGGGATCATGGTGGAAAAGGAGGAACGGTCCCTGGGAGCTTCAAGGTGTAGAAAGAAGGCAGCAGAGATTTACTGTTCTCTCCCTTGAAAAGGGCTCCTTCCCTCCACTGGAGGTAGCTTCCAGATCCCAATTTCCTTCCCCAGGTTTTTGGCAATGAGTAGACTCACCTCCAGAATTCTTTGCATCTGCTCCTGACAGAGCCAGCAGGACACTGAGAGCTGGAACAGAAAGATAAAAAGACAGTTCGGATGGAGGATGCCCTGGGGCTCTGCTTGGCTGAAGCCTGGGTGAGTTAGGGGCTCTGTCTCCTGCGACCCAATCACATGTGTGCTGGCTTCACTGTAGATTCTTCCAGGCAGGCTATAAACATGAGGGTCACAGGACGGCTATACCACTGGGGCATGAGAAGTACATCCTATTGCAGCTGTAAGAGGTTCTGCACCCAATTCTAATGTGTGTATGAGTGTGCCCACACCAACAATTAATTCTTGGACACCAGCTGGATGCCCTCCAATTCAGCTCAATTCTGACGCTATCTACCTAGAGATAGCATCAGATTACACAGGTTAAGGGCTCAGTCCCACAAGACTTGCCCCACTCCCACTTCCAATCCCGATTGCAAGTCCAGGTTGTCACCTGGGTTTCTGACTGACCAGCTATAGATTGGAGGTTCCAATGACCCCCTCCTTGGGCTTGATTAATTTGCTAGAGCCACTCACAGAGCTCAGAGAAACAGTTTACTTACTAGATCATCAGCTTATTATAAAAAGGATATAACTCAGGAACAGCCAGATGGAAGAGATGTGTAGAGCAAGATATGGGGAAAGCGTGAGGGGCTCCCATGCCCTCTCCAGGAGCACCACTCTACTCAAATGTCCACATGGTCACCAACACAGAAGCTCTTAGAACCCTGTCCTTTTGGGTTTTTACTGAGGCTTTATTACATAGATATGATTGATTAAATCATTGGCCATTGGTGATTGAACTCCAGCCCCCTCTCCCCTCCCTGGAGGTAAGGGGATGAGACTGAAAGTTCCAACCCTCTAATCACAGGATTGGCTTGACTGGCAACCAGCTGCCATCCTTAGGTGGCCTCGGGGCTTTCCAAAAGTCACCTCATTAAGATAACAAAAGACAACTTTATGGCTCTCATCTCAGGAGATGCCAAGGTTTTTAGGAGCTCTGTGCCAGAAACAAGGACAAAGGCCAAATATGTATTTCTTATTATAAATCACAATATCATAAACTGTATGTCCCAATTCCTGAAAATCCAGAATCTCATAAAGCTTTTTCTCCAAGTCTAACACCAAAAGGCCAAGTTTTAAACCTCCCTTCTATTTCAACAGTCTGTTTCTACCCGTCCAGACCTCTAACCCCACACTGTCCAATAGAAATATAATGTGAGCTGCATAGGTCCTTTTAAATCTTTCTACTAGCCACATTTTTTAAAGGCAATGAGAGACAGGTAAAGTTAATTTTCCTCAATGTACTTTGTTTAGCCCAATATTACCAAGATGTTATCATTTCAACATGCAATCAATATAAAACAAGTTATTCATAAAGCGAAACTGATACCAGCTTAACACAAGGTTGACATAAGGGAAGACATATTGAAGAAAAGAAAACATGTTGCGCCTTTGAATGACCTCTGATTAACTAACTCAGCTGGCTATGCACCCTCCAGATGATATACACGCTCTGTAGATTTTATGGCCCCTCTCAGCTGTGATAGTTGATAACTTTGTTCTTTTGAGTTCCTTAGAAATATTCTGAACCCCAGGCATGGAGTCTATGCTGATAGCCATCATCAATGACAACCGAAAGATCTGGGCATAGGGCATTGCTCCAGTCTCTGATGCGTCTTCAGTAAAACAAAAGATTATCAGGAACTAAGACCATCTGTGTCCCCCACCTGGAGACCAGGCCCCTATGTAACTGGCCTTTGTTCCGTAAGATGGTTCTTTCGGACATTAGTCAGCCATCTTTCCTCTTGCTCACAAGCTGTAATAAAATTCTTTCTCTCCTACCGCCTTGCCTCTTGACTCCTGGCATGTCTTTCAGTGAGCAGATGACTGCTCCCTTGGGTAGTAACAAAACCAGGTGCCAGCTTGCTTTAACTACACTCAGTTGTTAAAAGTATAGTTAAAACTGTACTCTGTTTGCAAAAGTACTTAGATAACACTTTACTAAAACCTACACTATAGATAATATCTCTGATACTTGGGTCGCTATGATAATGGGTTCTTAAGTTTTTCAGGAGATTGAATCCTTGTCCAATTCAGGCTGGTTAAGACCACTGACTCATCAACTGGGCCTGCAGTGATGACTGAGGTGACCCTTTGATGCTGAGGAGCTGAAAACCTCACCCTCAGATCATGGCAACACCACCATTTTGTGAACGTGCGTCCTATGAAGAGCCGTGAAGCTTGACTCCACTTGCACAGATCATCAACTACCTCACTTTTCCTTATCCCCAATCATCTATTCCCACACTTCAGACCACCGTGCCCTTTTATCCCATAAATACCACTAATCCCCATTTTTGGGGAGGCAGATTTGAGACTGGTTCTCTTTCCTCGCTTGGCTGCCTTGTGAATTAAACCCTTTCTCTGCTGCAAACTCATCATGTCACTGATTGGCATAATCGTGCAGCAAGCAAAACAAATCTGGTTCAGTAACAAAAGCATTTTACATTCTTTTCTGTGTGCATGAAGTCTCTGAAATCCAGTATGCATTTTGCACCTGTGGCAGATCTCCATTCGGACTGGTCTCATTTCTAGTGCTCAGTAGCCATGGGTGACTTGTGTCTGTGGTGCTGGACAACACAGGTCTAACCCCTTAAGAACTAATGCTCTATCTGGAGTAAGAGGAGATCTGAATAGCACAGACCACAAGAATCCTGGGAGCCCAAGTACTGTGGCAAATTTGGAATGGATAAAGATATTTTAAGGATGATTGAAAAAAAAAAAAGTCTGCCACATTATTAGACAGAGGCTTTAATTAAAGTTGGGGATGAACTCAGAAATGCAGAAAATCTTTCCACATATTCCCTCAGATCCCTGCCTCAGGGTAAGATAGGCTGGGATAGCCTAGACACTTGAAAAATGGATTTTCCCTCATCCCTTTCATGGCAAGTAGGTTGTGTTGGAACCCTTTGCTAAAATCTGAGGCATCTGCTTTCACAGCTAACATCAGCTTCCAAATAGTTTAAGTATGATGATTATAATCTAGGTAATTTGGATTTGTATCATATGGAAGGGAGAGGAGCAGGAATTTGCCTATGGCCCGTTTGGATTATCATAGAACAAGTGCCCTAGACATGATAAGGTCAACATCTGGTCTTCCTACCTCCTCTACAATATTTATGATGTTTCACTTCATGGATGCTGACAAAAGCATTGAACTTAAGGATCCATGCTATTACCGGGAAGCACATAACACGGGCATATTTGCAAGTCAAAAAATGCTCAAGTGTCAACAAATTGTCAAAGACAGAACCACAGCCTGTTCTTGAATGACCCACGAGCTAAGAATGGTTTTTACATTTTTCAAGTGATTGAAAAAATCCAAAGAAAAAGGATATTTCACAGCGTGTGTAAATGATATGAACTTCAAATTTCTGTGTCTGTAAATCGAGTTTTATTGGAACACGGGATGTCCATTGGTTCATGGAAGGTCTGTGGCTGCTTTTGCACTGCAACGTAGGGTTTGGAAGTTAGGGCAGAGACCAAATGGCTCACAGAGCTGAGAATAGTAATTATCTGGCCCTTTCCAGGAAAAAGTTTGTGCAGCTCTGACACAGGTTATTGGATATCACATGCTTGCTTATAAGATCTCCTTACAAACCCAGTCTTAAACAGTATATGACTCCTCCTATGGTATTTTTAAAACTACTTTGAAGACCCTAAAGCCCAGAGCAGAAGGATAGATAGATCCAGAGCATTGTAACATAATGAGCTGTAATATTCCAAGCATGAATCCTCTCGATGGTGGATCAGTGTAGCAGATGCTTGAAGTGTCCCTTAGCCTACCCCAAGGGGGATCCTGTGCATGCAGATAACTCACTGCATCTCTCTGTAAGGGGTTATTTTTCTGCAGCCCATGGGGGGCAGACCAGAAACATTTGGGGGTTACACTAGGAGTGGCTGTCAAGTAGTGAGGGATGAGGACCGGAGGAATAAGTAACCCAGATTCATTGTCCATCTAAGGCACATTAGGTACTGCCTCTTGGAGGGTCCTCAGCAGGATTGAGTGCCAGTTACCCACAGCGGTAACCCCTCATTTACACTCCCTTCATTCACTTCTCCCTTCCCTCTCTGACTTCCCCCCCTCCCTCCCTTGTGCTTCCTGGGATCCCCTCCCAAATAAAGTACTAACTTCCAAGTCTTTGTCTCAGTTCTGCTTTGGGGGAGAGCAACCAAGAGACTAATTATGAGGGCTCCTAATAGGACGGGCACACACAGTAATTGCTGGAGAAAGTGTCAAATTTGGAAGAGCGACCACAGCTAGGATGCCAGGATCAAGAGGAGAAGAGATGGGCATTCTCTGTTCCACTCACCTGAGAGCAGCGGCAGGCACTTGCTTCCCATAGCACTGAGATTCCAGGAACTACAATCTGAGAAACGCTCTCAAGCAAGACGTGGCAAGGGTTCCTGGAATGAATAAGCCCCATGAAAATAAATTTGTGATGGTCACAGAATTTAGAAGCCAGGTGTCTGATGTTTATCAAAACCCTTTCATTTCTGGGGCTGGCCCAGTGGAGCAGCAGTTAAGTTCACATATTCCACTTTGGCGGCCTGGGGTTCACTGGTGCAGATCCTGGGTGCAGACCTATGCATCACTTGGCAAGCCATGCTGTAGTAGGCGTCCTACATATAAAGTAGAGGAAGATGGGCACAGATGGTAGCTCAGGGCCAGTCTTCCTCAGCAAAAAGAGGAGGATTGGCAGCAGATGTTAGCTCAAGGCTAATCTTCCTCAAAAAAAAAACAAAAAACCTTTCATTTCTACCCATCTTTTGACCCAACAATTGCACTTCTGGGAAATTATCGGAAGGAAAGGATCTTGCAAGGAAGATCACAGCAGAGCTGCTTATAGGAAGCAAGCTTACCACCCAGGAAACAGGGATCAAAAATGCATCCAATGGGATATCCTGCCGGAATCGAAAATCCTGGTCTATTGTGATCAGCAAAATCCAGAATGTGGAAAACTCCACAGGACGAACTACCCAGTTTCTTCATCCAAAAAAAAAAAAAAAAAATTAAGGAGTAAAAAACACATAGAGGACCTAGATTAAGAGACTTAGAAACATATCACCCAATTGCAGTGTTTTACTGGATCTCAAATCAAACCAATAATTTGTTAAAGGTTGTAAGGCTAGAGATGTGATGCCATTAAAAAATGATTGTTCATTTTTCATAGATATGATCGTTCACTGCTAGTGTCCTCCCACGTCAACTCAGACAGCTGTTCCACAGGAAGCTATAGTTATGAGAAAATGGCTGTGTTTAAAAGAGTCCTGACATTTTGGAAATACATACTAAAATTTTTGCAGGTGAAATAATGTGATGAGTCAAATTTATGTCAAGATTATTGGGGAGGGGGTGACTTGGGGCAGAAAGTGAGAGTAAAGATGAAACAAGATTGGCTAGATGTTGGTCATCTTTAAAGCCGGATGAAGGGTCTGTGGGGTAAATTTGCACGCAATTAGGTAAACTGTAAAACATCATGCAATCCTCAACCCGGTGACACATCCCTCTTAGGTACTAATCTGACTCCAAGAGACTCAAAGTCTTAGCTAAAGTAAAGAAAGAAGTAATAAGGACGGGATCCTTAAATTCCAGAGTTGAGCACACCGCCTTCCAACACACCTGCTTATTTTAGGTCTAAGAACTATGGTCCCAGAAGCTACAAATATCTACAAAAATGGTAAAATCTTACTGTGTCCTGAGAGTTTGGCTTGCTAACCATCAGGTTGGGGGCCACAACATATGGTCAAAGGGAAGTGTGGGTTGCACCGGATAAAAGAAAAAGAACGAGGCCAGAGTCGACATGATGGTTACCATGCCCGCCTCAAGGCTGAAATGTGGGCAGCAGTAAAAATTGCGTTTTTAACCTTGACTTTCCACAGATGGCTGGAGAACGATGCAGTAGTCTTTCCCTGCAGTTCGGACATTTACAAGCCCAGGACACAAGATACACCGTAGCTGAGAAGGGCAACCAATCAGAGCTGGACTCAGCCCTAGCCTTGCAAACCCTGCAGTTTTTCTCATTAATTTTTTTTATTGTGGTCATAATAGCTTATAACATAGTGAGATTTCAGTTGTACATTATTGTTTTTCATACACCATGTAAGTATGCCCTTGCGCCCACCATCCACCCCCCTCCCCCCCGGTAACCACTAATTTATTCTCTTTGACCGTAAGTTTGTTTATATTCCACATATACGTGAAATCATATGGTGCGAACCTTGCACTGTTAGCTTTTAAAAACCAGCCACCCAAAGACCAGTGGGGGGCCTCCCTGGTTTGCAAACTGTTTTTTTAAAGAAAGCCTCTTTTTCTTTAAAATTTCACTTTCCCCTTGTAAAGCTGCTCGTTTTGGTTAACACACCCATTTGCAGCTAAACATGGCTGGATGGAATATATGGATTAAACTCCATTTTTGGCTAGAGTCCTACCAAATGCTGTCAACCCTCTAGGGAATTACAACCTAGAATTGCAATGGCCATTATGAGGAAATTCCAATTAGGTGCAATCATTTAAGCAGTGCTTTTAAAAGCAAGGGCTCCCAACTTAAACAAAATGCGACTCCGGTTTTAACTGGTAGGCAGGGGCTTCCAAAAGACTTCGAACTTCCAAAATAGCTTCATTGAAAGACTTGTTGCAAAAGGCTAATTAAAAGATTAAAGATATAAGTTGTACCTAGAAAAAAAAAAAAAGAAAAAAACAGCAAAACTAACATAACTCCTATGGCTTCCTTCTAACTTCCTTTAGTTGACTACTCATTCTAGCAATCGTCTGTCCAAATTGTCTTTACAAACAAAAGTTTTGTAACAAAAGACTTTTGTAAACAAAAATACACCAAGTGACTTTACAGACACCCCTATATCTACCCTCGAAGGAGGGCCCCCATAGGTCCCCTCCCATATGATGGGACTCTGAGGGATTTTCTGTTAAACTGCTATGTTATACTCTTAAACAGTCAAGGAAAACTTAAATTTGAAATTAACAAAATTCCTTGCCAAATTCTGGGAAATATCAGAGCTACATATGGGATCCTGGAAAACTTGGAGAAGCTAGCTGAGGGTGAGAATTCTTCCTGGAATCAGCTCTCCCAGGTATCTGTAGCACCCAGAAGGAAGAGGAAAATAAAATATCTTTTGCACCCTCTGTGATGATGCCTCTTGAGTCCAAGGGGTTGCTCAATACGGCCAGAAATATTTACTGTTTGTCTCAGCCAAAAAGTAGCCACAAAGTAGCTCTGTGGTCAGAAATCGGCCAAATTGCAGAGCCTGATAGAAGCGTTTTGAAAGCCTTCTTCCTTAAGTTCAAACAAAACTATATGCCCAGAGGGAAAGAAAAACCCTCCAAAACCCTTGTAAAATCCTTTATGGATAGATCAACATATGATGTCATTTAAGTTGCAACACAATGCTTTGAGGAATTGAGAGCAGCTGTGATGATCTTACAAATCTTTGTAGAAGTACAAAGAAATGCAGCTCTAGGAGCAGTTCCAAATTCACCCATTCCTTTTTATCAAACCCCAAATCTATCCTGTTTCTCTTGAAAGGCTTGTAACTCGCAGTCTCTCCCTGTGCCTTTGAGATGGCCCTGATTCACAGCAGTCACTCTGAAACAAAAGCTGCAAGATCTCTGTTTACATCTGTCTACGTTTATGTTGTCCATATACATGCACCACAAATATGTGGTATTTTTCTACCTCTGGGTAGTATTGTTAAAATTAATCTGTAAAAGAGCTCTATTTAATTGGCTTAAAGAAAGTTAAGCACTTATAGAAATTAAATTATCAGAAATATAATAAAAACTAACTCAAACGAATTTCAGGTTCACGTGATCTGGGAAAATATTTGCTATTAAAGCTAATGTGTTTGTTGGTTTAACTAAAATTGACGTGTCTTTAGAGTTATCAGCATTAAATATAATACTTTTATTCTACCTAAGCTTACTAAAGGTCAAATGAGTTCGGATCATTTTCTTACAAAATTTTTCAGCAAGAAAAATAGCTTGGGATGATGTCTGACTTTGCCTAATGTCTCGTGAAGTTTTTGTGGGTCGTCTAAATATCATTGTTCGGAGCAGATAAATTAAACAGATATAAGTTGGACAAAAAGTGTTTATGTGAACTTTTTAAATAGTTTCCCCAAATCTTTTTGGAAATCTGAAACTTTAACGTTTTGCTAAATTAAGTTAAATGATGAATTAAGTTAAATTCATTGAATATTCAGATCATTTCTAAATAAGATAAAATACTGAAATATTAATTACCGCACATAAGTTTATCCATGTTTTGCTTTTTTTTTTTACAAAGGAATTAAAGATATTTGGGTCTATTCATAGTATATTTTGTGCCACACTGAGATCTTTACTATGAGAAAGCACATATCCCCCCAGATTATAAAAAGTATTTGTAAATTTACCAAACCACAGAATGCTAATGTCAAAGACAGTTCATAATTATTTCTTTATTTTCACTGAAAACTATTGTTTTTAAGGTTAGAAATTCTAATATATGTGATTTAAATGACTAGAAGTAATAACAGAAACACTACTATATGTTGGGGAAGTAGGATATGTGTTTTTGATAGAAGAAGTTATGAATGGAGATGCATTTTTTAAGGGAAAAGAAAGTAATTTTGTCCTAAAGTGAGGCTGGTTGTTTCAGGAAGAGAAGGAGGAGAATAAAGGACAAATTAAATAGAAAGTTGGGAAGACGGAAAGAGAGAGAATCTTTCCTTGTGTAAAGTTGGCTAAAGTCAAATGAATTTATTGTAAGGGTTATAAAATTAAGCTTTAAAATCAGTAATGTACTTACGTAAAACTGGAACATAGTTTTCTCTCATCTGGTAAATAGAAAAAGTTTCCTTAGACTTTTGGTCTGCTCCTGATAAGAGATATGAAAGCTTTTTCTTTATTCTTTTAAGTAATCTGCCTAAAAAACAAATAATTTGTGTCCTGCCAAACTAATTTCCTGTATTGTCTTTATCAGGCCTTTGATTACTGCTGAATCTTCTCTGTTAAAATTGTTAAGGTTTTTTCATATCTATGTAGACTCTATACTTGCCTGTGAAGGCTTTAGTTGTCACTATGGTTAAATGGATAACTAGGTATTATTGCACAGTGTCCTACGATCCTATTTGACCAAGCGTTTAAAAACCTTTTTGATTTTTTGGACAAACTTCCCCAAAATCAAATTCAAAATGAAGTCTTTTTTACCTCAAACTAACTTTGGGATTTGCCAGAGGGTCCCTGGAACAATCTCCAAAGACTTGCTTTCTCTCCCTATAAAAAGGGCGATGTTGAATTAATTAGGGTTATTTGATATGTTAAATCATATGGGAAGCATTGTCAAATAAGTAATACTAGGCCCTTCTTTATGGTGTGTTTGTGTAGATATGTGTTAGAAGCGTTCCAGAAATTACATGAAATTCGTAAACTCTGGCATGTCCTGGTATAATGTTATCAGTCATAATTCCAGTCATCTTAATGTTACATGTTGATGTTACATGTTAATGTTACATATCGAGTCCTTATGTTGCACGTTACGGAAATGACCAAATTTTCCTGTCCATTCCGTTAGCGTGACCTCTCACCAGGTCTTTAACAATGAGCATCTTTAAGTCCTTCCTCAGACAGTTGCTGTTTTACTCTGATGCTTTGCAAAAGTGTCCCCACAAAGCACTTCATCTTCAAGGAGATTCGTGGAAGGACTTTTGACAAGTTCAGATTTTTAATAACTTTAAAATCATAAAACTGAACTGGGTAAGAATTTCCGGAACTAGAGGAAAACTGGATTAAAACAGAACAACAATTAACAACATGGGACTGACTAAATTGAGGAGGATGGCTATAACTTTTATGACTTTTTCTTTGAGACATTACTAGTTCCTTGATATTTTGTTTTTCCAGATTTAAGGAGACTTTTTCTCTTAAGCTATCTGTGAATACAAGCAATTTGGTAAAGTGCACCCTTGTAAATAAAGATGAAACATTTACTTTTTCTCCTTACTTGATCCTTCCACAATCCAGAAATTCTTGAGTATTCTTTTTATGGCAATATAGTTAGTTATTTGCATAAGTTCAATAAGAAACTGTTCTCCTTGTAACAGAAGGAAATTGAAAATATTGGTTGTATTACCAAGGCTTTGACTAGAATGCCATATGTCAGAGAGACGTACATACATTTGGATATGACCAGACAGATTTAAGAAACTCAGGTTGACTTTATGGAGCCCATAAAACCCCTTGGAAAAATTGGCCTGATACCTTGCTTACAAAGTTCCAGCAAAGCAATCTTAAGAAGAGCTTATATGGTCAATCACTATTCTTGCTGCACTTATGAAAATAATCAGGCCAAGTTTAATGCAAAGCAATTCGTTTTACTGTGATTATCTTTGATTTAAAAAACCGGGGGTGGGGCTGGCCCCGTGGCCGAGTGGTTAAGTTCGCGCGCTCCACTGCAGGCAGCCCAGTGTTTCGTCGGTTCGAATCCTGGGCGCGGACATGGCACTGCTCGTCAGACCACGCTGAGGCAGCGTCCCACATGCCACAACTAGAGGAACCCACAACGAAGAATACACAACTATGTACCGGGGGGCTTTGGGGAGAAAAAGGAAAAAATAAAATCTTAGGAAAAAAAAAAAAAAAAACCGGGGGTAATCAGAGAGAGAAAAATTATGTTTGCACATCTGTCTATAGAGGATTCTAATGCTTTAATTCTCTTTGAGGTTTCATTATATACCTATAAGCAGGATTGGATCCTGAATTCTTCTAGTTTTCTAAAATATCTGGCTGTGACTCTCCAACCTAACATTTCCAATTTTCTCCTACCCTTCAGCAAAAAGACTGCTCTTGAATCTCCTTGGAAGGGACTATATCGACCCCTCCCTCCCTACCCAGATGGCAGTCAAACTCCAGGGACCTGAGCCTTGGGTACACTTCTCGCAGATGCAAAAGTCTCCACCTGACATCTAGTCCTGTGCAAACACTGAAGACCTCTTAATGAAACTGACGAGGAAGAGAAGTAGCCGACATCAGGGTAGAGTTGCTCCCTCCCAAGATGCCAGACCAGAACTTCATACTTTAACCAAACATGAAACCCTTTCTTCTTCTTTTTCTTTATTTACTCCGGCATTGGCCTGGAAAGATAACACCGTCATCTGTATCTCCCAGGCCATTGCTAAGGGGAGAAACCTTTCAGACTGCTTCATTGGCCATCAAAAAACTCTTATCTGGTCACGATGCTAGAGACCCCCTGGTCTGTTTCCCCATCTCTGGTTAACAACCTTAAACTTAGGGAACTTTGCACCCAGGCTCTATGCAAAGAAAGAGACACAGGCGAGAATACCCAGACTAAAACCATCTGCGTGGTCTACAGACCCTTAAAATTTTAGTGGCCTCCACAGTCACCACCTTTCCAGTCCTGAGCCACAGATTCAAATGGGAATTACTAGGAGGCATTCTGGATTCAGGATTCACTTCCTTTGGAAGAACTTTACTTCCCTGGTTAGAAGTAAATAGAGGGGCCGGCCCAGTGGCACAGCGGTTAAGTGCCCACATTCCGTTTTGGCGGCCCAGGGTTCGCTGGTTTGGATTCTGGGTGTGGACATGGCACCGCTTGGCAAGCCATGGTGTGGTAGGCATCCCACATATAAAGCAGAGGAAGATGGGCACAGATGTGAGCTTAGGGCCAGTCTCCTTCAGCAAAAAGAGGAGGATTGGCAGCAGATGTTAGCTCAGGGCTAATCTTCCTAAAAAAATTTTTTTAAAAACAAAGATCCCCCAAAGCTGCGAGCAGTAGCTGAGAGTGGCACTAATGCCTTAAATTTTGATCATATCTCTCAGTTAAGCTGAGAGTCTGATCAAAACGGGAAAATGGTTAAAAAAGACACTACAGACCCAAAATGGAGTCACTTGTGCTAAGTCCGCATCACCAAATTGAGACTCAATACCTCATCTAATTGCAGTTTCAACCTTCCCCAGGAATGTAATCTGAACTGGTCAGTCTGGGATTTCCTGGTCAACACTAGTGAGATAATCCTCCTCATAAGCACCCTTTATCCTCCAAAAGAAGGTGACCTTGCTCAAAATCATCCCCGTTTTTTTTTTCATTTATGACTTCCCTGTCTCACCCCTCTCTGCCTTTTAAGACCTTTCTTGTTCTCTAGCTCTGTGGAGCGCCTTTCTATTTGCTAGACGGGATTCTTCCCGGTTCGTGAATCATCAAATAAAGCCAATTTGATCTTTAAATTTGCTCAGTTGAATTTTGTTTTTTAACATCTGTGACCACCACCTCCCATTTTTCCGCTCTCCCCAGCTCCTGGCGAGCACCATTCTACTCTCTGCTCCTACGTGTTTGACTACTGTTAACTTCCACATATAAGCAAGATCACACAATATTTGTCTTTCCGTGTCTGGTGATTTCATGAGTCTAGCAGGGCTGATTTGGAGTGATTTTTGGCCAGGACCCACTGTAAGAAATACATTTTTCATCCAAGAGCTAAGGGGGGGGGCGGAGCCGAGTTTCACAAATCAATATGCACTACATGCAGCATCTGACATTTTATGATTATAGTCCTTTTCATTTCTTTTAAAATGCTGGTTGTTACCTACAAAGTTGGTTCCGTGACCCATCCCCCCACAAGTGGGTCATAAGCAGCTGCTTGAAAAAACACCGACCTGTGGATACTTTGACCATGAATAAAATACTCAGTTCTTTCACGGTGAGCCTGGCGTTGAACTGTGCTGACGTGCTTATTTTGGAAGTGAGGCGTGCGGCATGTGAAAAAGTTTGTCCATTCGCTAATTCACTCTGTGACCTCAGTAAACGAAGTCATCCTTTTACATCTTATTTTCTTCACTTTCAATGACAAATTGGTCACACATCACATTTGCTTCAGACTCTGTTTCTTCAAAGTTTCTTATTTTAACTCATCTTAAGCCTTTCATGCACAATTCACCGTCTCTTTTGAGTACGCTAGAGCGTTTCAGCATGTTCCACACCACCACACAATACACACAGTCCTTGCCCAAGAAGAAGTGGGCAATGAAGGTGAGACAGACGTCCCTACAATAACTTTCAAGAAATAAAGCAAGAGAACCTGTAACAAGGTCTCCTTGAAAGTTTTTCCAGAGCCAGAACATTTTTCTAGACCCAAGATCACAAGTGAAACAGTTTCTATTTTCTATGGAAAAACACTAAACCACTTCTTACTTACCCACAAGATGAAAAGTTCTTGCTTTGCATCCAGGCTGGCAGCTTTTCAGAGCTAACAAAAAAAGGAAGTATGTCGCTTCTTATCTTGAGCTGGACTTCCTCAAGGAGTCTTGTGGGTGGCGGAGAAGGTCAGTGGTGTTGGTTGGGGAATCTGCATAATGCAGGGTCCATTAGTTCTCTTTTCATTCAAGTAATTGAAATAGTACATTGCCAGGGTGGACCATATTAAAGTGACTCAGAAAATGAACTTGAAAATGGTGATGGTGTCCAATGGGGAAAATCCATAATGGAGAATGGTGCCAACTTCCATCTACACCAAGAAAATGGATCCAACTTTGAGGAGATTCCTTTAATATGGTGAACTTCCTAGAGAGTTGAAGGCTGCAATGTGGAAGACAGTCAGTGTATTACCCAGTTCTCTATCATAGTATCACTTCTCAGTTTACCGCCTTGGGAAGATGATATACCATATTCCTGGTCTTTGAGATAAGGTCATCCAACATAACACTCATCTACTTGACTGGTAGCATGCCCATTAGCATGGCGTCTTGAAATTTTCTTCTTGTTCATATTAGTAGAATCTTTGTAAGATCCAGCATAAATATGGCAAATGCCCCCTAGTTTGACAAGTCAAAATACACACTTAGTGATTTACTCCTTGTCTTGATTTTATTAGATTTATGAAACATGGCCTTATTATCCCTAACAATAGCATCTCGCTTTTTGGTTTCATGTTTATTTTTATAAATTAATTAGAGCCAATGCAATAAAATGTGCAAATAATCACCTAGGTATGGCTGTCTAGGCGGGCTGGCAGTCAGCCTCTCCGAGGAAGACTCAAAATATTTGCTCCATGTGATACTCAAAATGTTTCTTTTGAATGACAAATGACAGAGGGTTCAGGCCTGTAATTGTCAGCAGAGCTAAAGTGAAAACTGGACGGATATTAAATTGAAATGCCTGAATCCAAGAGAAGTCCCGGAAATTCTGAGCATTTCCTGTGCTCATAGCCTAATTCTGCATGTGACAGATTACTTTCACCAATAAATGCAAGAATTCCCATTTTCACATGTAGTCCTCCCATGCTGACTTGAAATTTGGCCATGTGGCTGGCTTTGCCCAATGAAACAACAGCTCACAGGATGCAAGCAGAGATTTGAACGGTGCTTGCTCACTGGGGCTTGCCTTCTCTTCCTGCACTTGGAACCCTAAGATCGCTGTGTGAATGAGACCAAGCTAGCCTGCTGGAGGATGAGAGGCCATGTCGAAGAGAACCAAAGCTCGCTACTCAATCATCCCTCACTCTGGTTGCCAATCTGCCAACCACAAGATGTAGGAGTGAAGCCATGCAGGATCATCTAGCCATCAGCTGACCCACCATCTAATCAAAAATGCATCAAAGTTTCCATCAGAGACCAGCCAAGCTAGACCAGAAGAAATGTCTAGCCGTTCTACAGTAATTTTCATCTGAAATGAGCAGAGGCCTGAAACCCCTTCCCCCACAGCCTCTCTGCGAGGACCAGCGCTGGCAGCAGGCGGTGGTGGGAGGCCACAGGGGCTCTCTAAGGCTGAGCTCAGTGAGAGCGATGGTTCTGGGCACTCAGCTGGTCACCATAACCAATTACAGGTCCTCGAGGAGAACTCATTCTCCAGGAGGAGGCTTTCCTCTCCTCCTACTTCCTGAATTCCAGAGGGGACTTTTACTGGGTTGGGCGACAGGGACTTACCCGGGATAGTTAAATTTATTTCAGCTACTGCCATAAAGAGACGAAAAATGAGTCAGCCTCTGTGCCCCGCCCCACCCACAGGGTCAAGGAGAAGCAAGGGCACACCCTGAGCCTCCTGCCATCACTCTCCCACCCAAAATGGACCCCAAAGCAGAGAGGGGGCCCCAGGGCATGTGGATGGAAAGATTGACCTGTTGGTGATGCCACATCTCGGGTAGCATTGGGCCAGGGGGCTGGAAGTGCAACAGAGAGAAGGCAGAGTTAGAAGTCACAGACAGAATGACTAGACAAAACCTTTGGTTGGCCTTATGACAACAGTCCCACCTGTGGATCCCACCACTTGCTACCCATGTGTGCTACACCAGCCTCCCGCTCAGAGACCTCCCTTGGGACCAAGGTCCTGCTGCAGATCAGCCTGCTCCCGCCACCTCTCTAAGCCCAGCATGTCCCCTTTTCCGTGGGAGGTTCTTTGCTGCCGCCGCCCTCTGCACCATGGACTCGCTGGCACACCGAGGGCATGCCCAGACTCAGCAGCTTGCACAGAAAACTCAGGGGCTGCAGAGGGTGGACCTGGAGCCGATCGGGGATCCCAGTACCTGGAGCCCCATGATGACTCAGCCCCTTCCCGTCCCCTGGGTACCATCCCTGCCCTAGGGATGTGGGTGGGACCCTGCTGGATCTGAGTGTGCTGCAAGGAGCGAGGGTTGGAGGGAATCCAGCCTGCTCTGACAGCCCATCGACAGAAGGTCAGAGGTGATCAAGGTCCCTCCTCCCTCAAAAGTCCCCTTAGCCTGGACTGCAATGGGGAAAAGGCCCCGGAACTCCCAGCCGGTTCCCTGAGCTGCTTGGGATGCTATCAACGTGTGGGAGGAAAGCTCAGATTGCCTGAAGGGAAGACGAAAGTCTTGGGAATCCCGTGACGAGTTAGGAAGCACGTGCAGGGCATCTGGGTGACAGAGGGGGAAAAGCCACGTGACCCGTAGGTTCTGCCAAGAGCAGTGGTTCACCCAGAGTGAGGAGAAAAGGGACGGGTGGCCAGGGAGAAAAGGGACATCTTGACGAAGCCGCTGGGTGCTTACTCAGGGCTGTGGTCTGGGGCTGAGCAGCTGTGAGAAAGAGAAGGGAAGTCAGACCCAAAGTGCATGGGGGCCCACCCTGGACTCCAAGCTTGAAGAGGCTCAGTGGGGACACACCAAGCTGCAGCTTCTCACATGTCCCCTGCGTGGGCACTGCCAGCCACCGCCGTGCAGCTCTCAGGCCTCCAGGAGCTCCACCCTTGGTCCCACCGCCAGGGCCTGCCTGGCTGTGCCTGAGGGATCCTTCCCAGATCGCAGAAGAGGAAAGCCCCTCACCATGCCCGCGACAGGCCGCCCCAGCCGCACCATTGACTCCCCGTGTGAACAGCAAGGGGGAGTCCCAGCAGCCGTGGAGGAAGACCTCTTGTCCACAGCCCAGGGACAACAATTCGGAGACTGATCGAGGCGCCCCCGAGTCTCTCCTGGGCGTCAAGCTCCAGCCCCAGCATCCTCGCTGGCTCGCGAGCATTCCGTGCAGCAGCCACCTGCCGTGCCCTATGCCCCACCCCACTTCTCCACTGCTCTCCGTGCCCTTCCCAAGTCACAGTCGAGCCTGGAATCCTGTCCTCCGAGTCGGCTTCTGGCAAGACCCAAAGGAATGCACCCATCAAGGGGTGAAGGTGCTCCATTTCCCAACTGCCCCCAACAGCCAAAGCTGTGTGCCCCCAGAAGGAAGCCCCAGAGAAAAGCGGGTGTGGACCGAGGGGTCAACCCTGCCGAAAAGTCAGAGGCTTGCTTGGTCTGCCCACACAGCGGTGGAGCTCTCTTGAACTCACTGGTGGTGCAGTCATTGCTCCCAAGCAGTTGTGGTGACTCGCCGTTGGCCAAAGAGGGGAGGGGAGCTGAGCCCACGCTTTCCCTGGAGGTCACACTTTAGGGGCCAGCTGCCCCCAGGAAACCTCGGGCAGCACAGGATCTCTGGGAGAGGCTGGGGTGGGGAGGGACCCTGGAGTGGGAAGCGTGTCTCTTCTCAGCAAAGATCCCGCCAGAACGGGGTCCTGGGATTGGAGGCCCACCTGAGCAGATGACACCAGCATCCTCGTGGTGACCACAGTTGTGGCTGTTCCAGCCGTTGTGGGCGCAGCTCCACAGGTAGGACTCCTGGCCTGAGTAGCTCACGTTGTCCAGGACAATCGGCCCCGAGCCCTGACCAAAGCGAGCACTTCCTGGGGCTGACATGGCCCAGCCACAGCCCAGCTGGCTGCACACCACGTTGGCATCGTTGGTGTCCCAGTTGTCATCGCACACGATGCCCCATGAGCCTCGGTACAGGACCTCCACCTGGTCCTGACACCAGGCACCTGGGCTCACCACCCTCAGGGTCAAACCCGATTCAGTCCGTAGGGGGAGCACAAGAACATCTCCTCCATGTCTGGCTTGAGGTCCCAGGCCTAAGGCACGTTCCAGACTCAGGGGACATCCTCACGGCTTCCTTCCCTGGGCAAGCAGGCAGGCACCTTGGAAGGTGCCCAGAGGTGAATCTTCTTCACAGGGAAAGGAGCAGAGACACACTGTTCTGCCTGGGTCTCAGGACGCCCAAATAGGGGGAAGCACCCCTTGAGGACCGATGGAGGTGAGCAGGAAAGGAACCCCCAAGCCACACTGGGCACCCCCTGGGGTGGAGCTCCCTGGGGACCAGTGGCAGGCCAAGGCTGTCACCCTGTCTGGAGCTTTTTGGCCCCTGCGTGGTCCTGCCTGGGTTCTGCTGGGTTCCAGTAGATGAGGGGACCCGGGCCAGCTGAGTGTGGTCCAGGCATTCTCCATCCCTCTGCCTGGAATGGCCGCCCGTCACCTGACAGCCAGGAGCCAGGTCCTGGCAGGAATAGCGAGGACTCCTGGGCTCCCACTGAGGTCCCAGAGGGGGCCCTTTGCCAAGCATCTGGACTGGGAGCCCGTTTAACTAATGCACTTCACAAGGTGGACTGGAAGGAGTTCTTTACACACATGTTGCCAGGTTTGGTAGCATGTGGCTTCACCTCCCAACCACCACTGATTGGCCCATGGACTGGTCCATACGGCACCAACGTCCTATGAGGTGGTCCAAGCAGAGAAGTCTACCTTCAACTTGTTCTCCATATTGGATGTTGACTGGCCAATCCATCCAGCTTGTTTCTCTCTTGCAGAGTTTGAATGCAAAGTCCCAAAGGGGAACACAGACAGACAGTAGAGCGGCCCATGAGCCAAAGAACAAACTGAGAAATAGCAAAATCAGAAGCCTTCAGACAGAAGAATCTGTTGATGAC